ACTTATTTATTATGACCATGTAGACGGTGGCAGTACAAACAAGTCTGGCTTCAGTCCACAGGGACCAAGGGTGTAAGGAATGGAGATAAAATTAACTGAAGGCAGAAATGGAATAATGGGCATCAGCCTTCTTCCAAAGCAAATCGGGGTTACCTCCTTTGGCGTGATCAGTCCTGTGAAGTGAACGCAGTGTTGGAATTTGGAAAATTTTGGAAAGTTTTATGCTTCAGTGTTTGATTGAAGGTAGTCTCAGATTCAGACATTAGAAGTCATTGGGCATTTTCCTGGATCATCGGCTGTGACAATGTCACCAATGTGATATTGTACTCTAAGAATCTTAGTTACGTAAGGGTTTCGGACAGTTCTTTATTGATAGTGAACAGCTGGTGTCCTAAAATAACGTTTTCTGATCATTTCCAGGTCTGGGACGTCATGCTTCCTGTTCTATAGAACGATCCTGATGCTTTTGTACGAAGGCTTGTAACTTTTCCGTTTGTGGTCAGTATGTTCAGATGAGTTCAGAATCCATTGCCCAAGTAGATGGGCTCTACAGATGCTAAAGCCCCTACAGTCTACTATGTAGTAAAGCAAATATCCGGCTGTGCAGAAAAAAATAGTGCCTTATGTTATTTGCGTTTTATTCCAGATGGACAAGCAAATTTATTAACATTTTAATTTCTAGTGTTGCTGTTTACATTTACATTTCGCAGATGTATTCATCATGTGCCTTGGGGGGGAAAAAAAAACTCTATGTAAAGAACAATTCTATCGTGTCGGACCATTTGTGTCAATTTGGATTGCCTTTTGAAAAGTACTTCCTTGACCTTCATTTAAACAGATTGCAGTTTATTGTAAGTCAGTGCAAAGGACACCTTCACTCTTGGGTGTTAGACAGACGTGGGACCTGAAACATGGGCAACATGGGGGAAAAGAAGAGCTCAGCAAAGATAAGAAAACGTGCGATGCGAGACCTTGCTAAAAAGCTGTCAAGGCATTTGATGGCATGTAATCTCAACCACAAGGCTGACACCAGTGTGACGCAGAGGAGCTCTCACTAAGCAGGTGTTCTGTTATCAGATTCAAAAGGGCAACAAAATAATCTAAAAGAAAAATGAGCTCAACTGTAGCCCCTCCCAAAATCTACTCCCCCCCCCCCCCCCCCCCGGCTTATGAATAAGCCAAAGCTACCTTCAGAAGAATTATAATTAATTTTCAGTTCTAGTTATAATACAAAACCACAGGGCATAACTGTAAAGTCAAGGGCAGAAATTCGGTGGCTCTTGTCTCTTATCTGCTGTTTGTCATTGTCACACAGAAGGCTGATTTCCTGCCAGAGGAGTTTTTGTCCTTCAGTGGTATGCTATGTGTTGCACGTGACGTTGCTTTCTCATTAACTATTTGAGTGACTCCTCAGTGTGATATAAGTGGCGCATGTGAGGACTGATGCACTGAGGCCGTTGTGGAATTTTGTTTTGCGTTCACGATGAGTTGTTATACCAGCAGCTGTTGTGCACTTTTGGGATCGAGACAAACGGAGAAAAAGACCTGCTTCTGTTTTCAGAATTGCTGTGTGCGCGATACCTCAGTAATTCAGGTCTCTAGCAGATGGTTGATGATCTTCTGCTGCAGAGATTGGAGAGCTTGGTGAGTCACTCTGCCGGCATCCTACTCTGGGTCCTTCCTTCCTTGTTCAGAGGGATGCAGAAATAGATGACCATGGTTGTATTTTGTGTCATTGATGCAAGCATCTCCTGTAAACTGTACCGGAGGCCTTTGAGGCAGGTTGTTGCTTTCATTCTGACATGCTTTTATCTCTGTCAAACTGGAGATCTGAGAATTCGAGAAAAACTGAAGAAATACTGCAAAATGGAGGAAAAGACTCAATATCCCAAATGAATGTTCGGTTAAGCGAGGGGTGATACCGCACGCTGCTCTGGTCTGAGATGGTGGGTAGATATAAGTTGTTCTCAACATCTGAATGTTTTTATAACTTTGTAAAGCTGGGCTTTGGGAACTTAAGCTGATAGCTTAGGCAAATGTTCTCTCAGCTCATATGGAAAATGTCGACTTGAACTTAAGTGAGTTTTTGTTTATTTTGTATTTGGGTGTTTTCTTAACTCTTTCTCAGCTTGTCAGCAGAATAGAAATCAAAACGTAGCACGACGTAGACCCAGAAGAGCGGGTCAGAAATAAAGGTAGTGTAGTAAATCTGAGAGCCAGACAACTTGTTAACCAGCTTGTTTACATGGTTGATCTAGCCAGTAGGCCTACACCAGTGTTATGCAGAAGATAAACCAAAGAAGACAAAGTGAAAGGGAGAAAAGGACAGTTAACAAAAGCCCTGTTGTGTTAAGTCGTTGTGCTCACTGCAGAACAGGTTTTGCCACCAAATGCTGTTAATGGGACAGATATTCCTTTTGCAACCCTGCACCCACTTGTGGCTCGCTGCTCCAGTCCTGGATACCACGATGTCTGCAAGCCAGACCCCCGCCCTTCGTAATCTGGTCGAGCTGGTCAGGAGCTGCACCGGCCCAGCTCCACACTTCTCGAAAGTGGATGATTCAGCTGTTGGCGATTTTAAGAGACCTGGAAGACGTGCTGGAGTTCGGGCTTCCAGAGACCGGAGCCGTGCATTTTGGAGCTAAACGGAAGGGGGCCGGGCTCTGGAGGAAAGGAGACGATGGGGAGTGGGAGATCTGTAGAGAGAGGAAAAGAGCAGCCTGGTACAGCACATGGAAATGAGCAGATGAGCAGACTGTGAGAGGGGAAAATAGAGAACCCAGAAGTGGAAAGAAGAGGAGGGTAGGGTTACGGTTATTCCAGAAAGCCGGGATCGTTTACCTTGATAAATGCGGTTTCATGTAATAATCCAGTGTTCCGCCGCACAGCTGCGGAAGTCTCGGGAGAACCCCGAACTGGGCGCGGGAGGTGGTGGCAGTGCTGTTCGTTGTCTTTCCTTGGGAAATGAAGGTCCAGACAGCACTGGAAGTGGTACAGTATCTGTATTGGAAGATGTGGGGAAGGAGGGCAGAGGAGGCTCCTGCCCTCCCACAAGTGGACTTGGGGCTGTTGGATGGCACGGAAACGCAGGGGTAGCCCTGTTCCCAGGACGGGGGGCCGCGGCACTCCTTCCGGCGTAGCACCTGCGTGCCTTCGAGAGGCGGAAGAATGAAAACCAAGGCAGCCTTATCGGTGGGACACAAGCGCCCCGGCCCTGTCAGTGCGGAAGATGAGTGCCGGGCTCATGTGTTCTGATTTCAGCGTGTTGTCGGGGGTAGTGGGCAGGTGTGAGGGGCGGGTGGGGGCCGCGTGCAGCGGGATGAGCCCCCCGCCAGTCGTGCAGCAGCAGCACGTTTTGATTTTTTTTTGTTTCGATCTCCGGCTCGGTCCCGTGCCCCACATGTCTGTAGCCCTTCAAGTAAACCAGCTTGCTTGCTGGCGGTGCGGAGCCAGGGCAGGGCCGCCGTCTTGCGGCAGCGGGTCCGGCCCGATTCGAAGGCGCCGCCCCCGCCTTGCCGTGCGATTCCCTGACCCCGTGGGCTAGCGGAATTCGTGCGCCGCCCTTTCTCTGTCCCTCACAAAGGGCGCCATTGTGATCTGTAAATGGCGTAGTGTGTCGCTGGTGAGACAGCGAGGTGTTTTGTAGGCTTAATTACGGCGTCTCCGCCAAGAATTTATCTGCCACGGCGATAAATGGAGATGTTTGACTTCAGAGCTCTTTTGTGCAAGGCTAAATTCTCCAGCGATCAGTCTGTTCTGTCTATGGCTCATGTTTTTGCTGATTGGGGGAGAAAATAATCAGTGTGCTAAATTACCTCAAGTTGCATTTTTCCTTTTTGTTTAGATGTCTATTTTTTTGAGGGAGGAATAATGAGGGCAAAGCTGGTTACAAAGTGTAATGATTGAAGGTGGAGAGAAAAGGATTTTGTCATTGTAAGAGCTCATTTTTATCAGCAGTGCTGTGACTAACTTAAGGATGTTGTACAAGGAGGGAAATTCCAGCATGAAAAGGTTTTCTGAGTTCAGTCAGTTATTGTATCTATGAATTGTTTTGAAAATTTGAACTGGCTGTAGTTTCTGGCTAATAATTCTCATTTTGTGCGGTCTTAACGAAGCCGATAAAATACAAACCTTGAATGGCTGTTTATGATATTATGAAATATCTATTTATGAAACAGACCAGGTCATTAATCACTGGTTATCTTGTGTATGTGGTCAAAGGACTAATAAAACAAAAACATTATGAAAGTTTGATGAGTAATAATTTTGAATAAGGTACCGAAATCCAAAGAGAACACTTGTTGCTGTGATTCCAGACTAGCAATCAGTCAGATTTTATATATTTATAAAATGTAATCTGCAGCAGAGTTTCAGATGTGTTCAAATCCTTTTTTTCAACAAAGAATTAACTGCAGTCCAGTTAGAAAAAGCTTAGTCACCCATGGTTTTTAACCTGATTTGTGACAGGGCAGACCACTGTATGCTGAGTGTAGATTACAGAAAGACGTGTATAAGATTACAAAAATGTAAAAAAGTAATGTGTTCAGTGATTGCAGAGGAGTGGCGATCTGAGAGTCTGACTTTAATTTTGTCAGGGTACAAGCAGCACTGTCAAGACCCTTACGTAAAATCTTACTCTTTCATGATGATGGCGAAGAGTCTGACTTGGTGCATTGCAGTTTTACACTGTCACAGACAGGATAAGTTTTGAAAATCGAATTCCCATGTTGAGCTATTGCTGGTTTTGAAGTGATCCTCCTTGTGCAGAAGTGATAGAGATGGAATTTTGGTCTTAGACGTATTCTTTCTGTCTCACTTTTTTGTTTTGTTTTTTAGTGGCACCAGTTTAGTGAAGTTAATGGTTGAAAATGGAATAATTGAAAATTTTACTTTGACAACTCATGTGGTGCTGTTCTGGTGTTGATGTCATCTTCTCCGCTGTCTAACTTAAAAAAAAAAAGTTTCAGATATTCAAAAATATTTCTTTTTTCCCCTTGCAGATTAACTACTGAATCCTGATCGGGATTTGCGGTTCTTCAATGAGGAACTACAGGCTCATCTTTTGCCACAACCTGAAGCAGCCATAGATGACCAAGGATTGCCTTTTCCCTGAGAGCGATCGGAGCAGGAGATAAGCTGTACTTTTGGGTGTCTGTGTGCTCAAAGGTTAGTTCCTCAGTGCAACTGTGATGGATAATCGGTTTCTCTTGCAACAAAGAATAAAGTCAGTTTATATATGATTAGTTAGGATAAACACAAGTCATGCATTCAGTGGTCAAACTATTGAGAACTCTCCACTAAATACCCTGACCGGGCATCTACAAGCACAAACAATTTGAGGAGGATGTCGCAAAATGCAGCCCTGTCCCGTTAAGGGGTCATCTTCAGTTGAGGTCGTGCTGAGGGCAATAGTGTGGTGCGTGACCTTGACCTACACCTTGCAAGTGGAAATGATGTAATCCATCTTCAGTTTGTTTGCGTTTTGTCTTTCCGTGTGACGTGCACGAAATCTCTCTGCTGTACACAATGAGGGTTTATAATTCTTTGGCCCTGTGACATAAACTGTGGATAGGGATCAGACTTTTAAAATAAACCAGATCCAAAGGAAACGGCTCATGTGGTGTAGGCTGACCATTTTACAACTGGCGTGTCTGTTTAAAACTCACCCAGGTTTATTGTACACGGAGCTTGAGACATTAGTCCCTTGTATAAGGTGACACTGCAGTGACAGGCAGCACGAGAGCTGAGGCGATACTATGTAAGCCGTTGTACAGATCCTGTCACTGATGGATGTCGGATATTTGTACATGCTGCTTTCGCAAGCTCACAGGGTTACATGACACTTGCGCACATCCTGGGGTGGGTTTGCGCCGATTGTGCTTACATGTGCTCTTCATCTTCCTGTGGCCAGTGGTCATGTGGGCTAAGCACCCGGTGGTGCAAGAGCTGACCTCAGCGATTGGACCTGTCTCCCTCTTTCTGTCTCTCAGACAGAAGGAACCAGGCTGGCTGTGGAAGCTATGAGGAAGAGCCTCTCTCCTTCCCTCAGCGACTCCCTCAGCACCACTAGGGTTTTTGGGATTCCCCTCGAGGAGGTGCAGCAGAGCGGACAGCCCGGGCAAGAGGTCCCCCTGCTGGTCAAACATATTGTGGAGTACATCGAAGAGCACGGTGAGTGCCCCAGACGTATCCCTTCGCTGCCCGGGCAGGGGGAGCAGAGGTGCCCCAAGCCTTTCCATTGCATGGTGGTTTGGTGTGCTCCAGGTGTCAGGCGCTTGTGATGTTGAACTGCTAAGCGTTTTGAGTTGACTTTCACTCCACACACGTGACGGATGTGCAAGTTAACTAGCTTGGAATACCCAAGGACTGGCACTTGGATGTGTAAAGAGATGGACCCTTAAAAAAAAAAAAAAAAAGACTATACAGGGCTTTCATATAGCACGTTACAGGACAGTTCTCCCTGTACACAGCAGTCTGCAGCACTGACAAGCATCTGAACATACATCATGGAGGAGAATCATTCCAATTGCATCTTTTAATTAAAATCAACGTGTGTGCCTATAATATTCCATGTCATACTGAAGAACCATTTAGTTCGATTAATGCAGTTTTGTAAATGTACTGTATGAAAATACTGGCAGTAGCATTGGATTTCCCTACCAAACTCACCTTTGTATTCAGATTTTGTATCTTATGTGATTTGTGACTGGACAGCCCTAGGAGGCCTGAAATGAATGTGATCTCAGTATTAAAGAGTGAGACTTGGGGAGGTGCGGTCTTTCCAGTGAAGTGTGATGAGTTGATGGGGTGGTGGCCAATGGGAGTTTAAGAACATAACGGTAGAAGAGGTTGCAAAAGAGAGGAGGCCATGCAGCCCATCCAGCCTGTTTGGTGGTGGTTTATTGGTTAACTCATTCAGCAGTTTCTTGGAAGAAACCAGGGTTTTGGCTTGAAATGCGTGGCTGAGTTGCTTGTTCCATAGTCGCACATCTCTGTGGTTAAGGATAAGCTCACTGTTCTTTGTTGTAGAGTACAGGTGCAGTGAAGACTGAAGACACGAGGCAGTTCTCTGTCATGGCTGCCCTGTGCAGTCGCATGGCTTCCTGGGATCTCTCTTGTTTTTAACTTTTCTGACAGGCGCTGGGTTTTTATTGCAGCGCCTGCTCGAGAAGTTCCTCTGAGGGAATAGTGCTGGTACTTTCAGTCCTGCTCCTCATCATGGGAAAGGCCAGTGTGCTCTGCAGTTCAGGTGAAAAGGTCATGGTCTCTTTCTGAAAATAAAAAAAAAAGCACACAATGCCTTGGCAGAGTTTTAGAAAGAAAATGTTTGCTGAGAAGCTGAACTCTTACTACCCTGGGATTAAGAACAACTTGTTTTTCTGACTGAAATGAGTTTTTGCCAACTTTGTGCAGTTTTACAACAGAAACAGTCCATGTGAAACATAAAACATGGGGTCTGCTGTTTGTTTTTTGCCAGGGTTAGACACTCATTATTCAGTTCACTCTGACAGCACTAAGCGATATTCACCGCACCTTGGTGCATCTAAAGATGGTCACAGTTTTTTGTGGCTGTGTTACATTCTAATTTGTTGATGAAGGGACACACACTGTGTGTCTGGAGTACATAGCCGACCTGGACAGATAAAGTAGTTGATCATTTTTTTTCCCCCACTAGTGAAATAAACATGCAGTTCTAGCAGAAAGTTGCTCTAACAGCGGTATGCAGAACATGCATTCTACACATACCACAGGAATAGGCAAAGCAATAGAAAACGACATAAATAAGTTTTCTATTGCTTTGCCTATTCCTGTGGCATGTGTAGAGTTGACATTGGCTCATGGCAATTTTTTTGTGCAGTTGGTTTAGAAAGGGTATTTTTGCATTAACAGAGGAGGATTAAGGTTGCCAGCTGCATCCTGGTCTAAGGCAGGCATAGGGACCGAAATGAATAATTAAAGGGTTAACTGTGTAACGATCAACTCATTTACTTTTCCCTTCTGCTGAGTGCAGCAGGGGTTTTGTAATTAAGTAACTGTGTAAATGGCCTGCGTTTCACCTTGGTGATCCTAGGCTCTCGGAAAGTAGTGGAGATAAAGTAGGACTGTTTAGCCCTGTATAATTGTGTTGGTATATTTGGAATGTAGACGCTGTACTTGATAATAGGTAAGTCTGCATAGCAACACTGATTAATCTTTGACTAGATTGTCCATCCTGGTTCTGGTGTGATGTTACATGTAGAAAAGTCCTCAGTCAGATTTGTATATAAGCTACGCAGTATTGAGAGAAAGCAACTAGGACAATTGCTTAGATGCATATTCTGGTACTGCAGGTCTCATGCAGTAATTGTCTTAATTTATGAATTAATAACCTTTGACTGTATTTCATATTATTCTGTGTACAATTAAGTACTCCTGCTTGCGTTCAGAGAGTTTTGTTTCCTTACACGGGTAAGCACTGAAGTGCACAGTACATTGTTTTAGCTAGTGCTTGTGTATTTTATAATTGTCATTACTGCAGGCGTTGCAGAAGATAAGAAGTGGATGCTGGCTTGAAGCCACGGCCACTAATTCCTCTTTGCGATTTCCTGCGAACCCTGTGCGCCGGCCTGTAACGCTCTTAATGAGCTCACTGTGTTTACGAACCATTCCAAGATCCTTGCTTTGTTATTAACTCGGCCCTAATGGCATGTGACTTTTAAGTCAGAGTGATTTGCGTGGAAAATGAAGCTGGGCAGAAAATCCCGAAGTGGGCATGTTATGCAACAGGATTCTTTTGTTTTCCACCCTCTCCGCTGTGTTGGGGATAATTGAGCCCTCGGGTGTTTCAAAGCCCGCTCCGAAAGGTATCCGGCCAGTGAAAAGACTTTAATCTGTCTGTTTGCTTTTGAACGAATGCCATAGCTCTGATTTCATCGTGGCGGTCTCGGCCGAGAGTGGCAGAGTGGAAGTTGCGCCATGCCGTTCTTCCCAGAACAGACAGGGCGGACATAGCAATAAGTAAACATGGAAGGACCGGAGCTAGGAAAAGAGCAGGACAAAGATTTTCATTTACGGCAGCCTTTTGCTTTATTTGTTGTTGTTGTTGTTGTTTTGTAATCTCATTTAGGACTTCCACCTTGTTCACTGTTAACAGTCTGGGAGAGCCAGTTCTTTAAGATGCATCTTTGCAAGTCTTTAGGAAAAACTGGAACAGTGTGGAAGTACCTGTGCCTGTAGGACTTAGCTGAACCCTGAGTCGATGCAATGATCTGTGTATTTTTCTGAATATTGCCAGCTTTCTCTTTAGGCACAGTGAGAAACTTCTTTGACTAGAGTACCGAAACCCAGAGGTCCTGTTTTTCTGTAACACTGTTTCCTCATAATGTGGTATTGTATTCCTCATAAAGGGTAATGTGGTGTTCCCTACCCTGCTTTTACCCTTTACTCTTTCTGGTCCTTTATTGATCTCTGTCCCCTCTGCCTGTCCCACTTCTGCTCCCTCCCCTGTCACTTCCCTCTGGCAAATACTGGTCCTTCTGTCTCTATCCGCCTCACTCCGTAATGCTCCCTGTGCCCATAGGGGGTCTGGACCTGGAGGGGCTGTTCCTGGTCAATGGCAGTGCAGAGCGTGTGGACTGGTTGCGGCAGCGGTACGACAATGGGGAGGAAGTGGACCTGGAGAAGGAGGCAGACCTGGCCTCGGCTGTCAGCCTGCTCCGACTCTTCCTGCAGGAGCTCCCCGAGCCCGTTATCCCTGCCAGCCTGCAGGCTCACATCCTGCAGCTCTACCAAGGTACCGACCTGGTCATTCACAGGAGGAGGAGTTTGATGCAGTGAAAGGTGTCTTTGTGAAAGAGAGACCGCATCTTGGTCCAAAATCCAGGCCAAATGGTGAGACCTTGAGCCAAGGTCTCACCATTCCCATAGTAGCAGCGCCTACTATGCATTCCCATAGTAGCAGCGCCTCTGGCTAGTATGATCAAAGCAACATTTTTTCACTTCACAGTCACAGCTCTATCATTACATCACCAAAGTTAAAGTTAGAAATCCCTTGTCCACCTTCGCGTTTGTTTCTCTTCTCTTAGACTGCAACACGGAGGAGGAGCTGGCCAGAAACATGAAGTACTTCCTGCAGCAGCTCCCTCAGGTCAACTACTGCCTGCTGCGCTTCCTGTGTCGCTTCCTGTCCAACGTGGCGTCTCTCCAGGAGGAGAGCTGGAGCACTGGCGCTCTAGCTGCAGTGTTCGGGCCCGACATCTTCCAGTAAGACCTGAAACTTGCCTCATGTTTCCACTCAAGTCACTGGCCAAGTGGTAGAACAGCGAGCATTTTTGTGTGTGGGATACTAGCCTTGGGCTGCTTAACAAAACTGAATAAAAACTTATTAGAATTTGGTGATGATGCAGAGAACAGGGAAGTGTAAGTGGTTTCCTCACATTTGTAGACTTTGTTGAAACATTCCCAAATAATTAAAAACAAAATAGTTCCTAATCATAAATACTAGTATCATGTGTATTGAGCTTCTAGGTTTGCAGGATGGTCAGTGAATAAAATCCAGATTGGAGGCCTAAACGTGGCTTGTTCTTCAAAGAGGTCCAGGGTGGATCTTTGAGCAGAACTGGTTAAGCTCATGGAGACCCCCATTGAAGCAATGAATCCTGATCGGGATACCTAATTAAATCGGAGAAAGATGTGATTCTGGGATCTCGGGGATAGTCTCTGAGCTGCCCAAGGGAGGCCTGGATCCCAGAGTGAACCCAGAGCCACTGAAGTTTCACCAGCCCCAGCAGCTTGAGTCTTTGAGGCAAAATAGAAATAGCTGTCTGACCTCCTTTTAGCTGTTACCTTTAAGACTGAAGGGACAGTGCCAATCGGACAGAGCACAGGTCCTGAAAAACACTACAAAAGGCAAAGTGAATCTTCACTGGAAGACTGGAGTCCAGATTTAAATCAAAACTTGCTACCCCACGCCTCTTGAAGCAGGGTTTCTGCTTTGCCCAAGCTCCTGACAGCTGCACAGTGGAAATCAGGCATGAGGCGTTTGCTTTGCGAACTTGAGGTTGGTGGATGGGGTGAAGATAGGATGTGATCCAGAGAGGGGGGGGCTCATGTGCCCCTTGTGTCTTTCAGCATTGACACGGATGTGGAGGTTCTGAAAGAGCAGGAGCCGGTGAGCCGCATCCTGGCTGACCTGCTGGAGAACCAGGAGGAGTTCTTCGATTCCGAAGAGGAGGATTTCTCCACCACTAATGACTACAGCTCCCTCAACGAGCAAGTAAGGACCTTCTCTCTGGTGCACTCTCACGTGCTCTGTCCTCGTGACCTCATGGGTGGTGTGCAGACTTGTAATCATGTATTTCTTCCTGCCTGCTGCCACTCTGATGATTATCTGCAGTCAGATGTGGGGGTCAGGTGTTCTGTGCGCTTGGCTGCTGGTGACTGGTAAAATCAGTTTTAGTTCGTCAGACTAAGATGATGGGTGATGGAGGTAAGTTGAGTTCTCCTCAGACGCTGTGTCAGTGAGTCTTTGTGTGGCACTTGACTGCAAAATGCAGAGATAATCCCTCTGAGAAAACAACTTGCATTTTTTCTTCATCCTTTTTTTCAGTTGTTTTATCAAAGCATCAGATGTGCGTTTTTAATTTCTGGTTGAATTGCATTACCCTACACCTGGCTTTTCAGACAAAAACTGAAATACAAAACAGCTTTGTATCAGTATTGTAGTTTACATATTTTGAGTTTGTTGTACTCTCTTTAGTCCTCGCAAATGGTAACTTCTTGAGTGGTGGCTGTGGATGTCTGTAAAAGCGTCTTATTTTTTAGATTGGCATGAATTATCACCATCTTCCTTTTTGTGGTGACACACAGGCAAAAGAAAGCCAGTCTTTATTTATGATGTTCTTAGAAGCCCTATTTAGGATTGTGGCTGTGTTAAGGTTCACTTGCAGCTGTACAACAGAGGTTTGCTGCTTCAGAAAGTTATTTTGTAATATCCTCCTGGACCTTAAAACACAACTGTAAGCTATAGAAACCACGCATTTTAAATTTTCTTTTTTTTTTGGGAGACCTAAATAGTGTTTCAAATCTTTGAACTACAACTATTTAACACTAAATTTAGACTTAGTGTCTTAAGTCACTTAGTTATGTTTCCATTGGGTTCCCATTGAGTATTGGGTTGAATAGGTGTAAGTATTTGAAAATAAAATTATTAAAAACTTGCCCTCAAAACGTCAAGTGGGTTTTATATAAGCACGAAGATTGTTTTGAACAGTGGAAAATCTGTGATCTGTCTGATGCTGTGATGTTTTGCTCTGGAAACAGTTGTATTTGTGTTGTGGTCTAAATATTTCACTAAACTATTTTTGGTATAATGTTCCAACCAAACGCTTCCAAGGATCGTGGTAAATGTTTCTAATTCAGTGTGCTCAACCTCAGAAAGGTTCATGGTGAGGTCTATTTAAGAAACTGTTAGCTAGCTTCTTCTATAATTTCCTCGTCAGTCAGAAGGTAAATTGATTAGCGCAGGTGATTTCAGTTGTTCAAAATTGATTAAAATGTGTCTCAGAATATATGTAAGACCAGAGTTATTGGGGACCTAGGTGGTCTCGCAAATCTTGGCTGATAAATAAATTTCAGTCAAAATGATTAATGGCAGCTTTCAGTCTGTCTCTTGTACAAGACTGGTAATACTTGTCTGCAATGGTCTGTAAGCGTTTGGTGATGTGTTAAATTGGTATCGGCCTTCTACAGAGGTTTAACAAAACTGTCCACTTCCATCAGCCAGCAGGAGATAGTGTTTATGAAAATCTAGAGGAATACTAGTGTTGCAGTATCCAAGAACAGTTCCTTGCTAAAAACACTTAAGTATTTTTTTCCCCCAAAACACCTGTTCCAAGTTCAGCATGAGATCGACAAGAAAGGTCTAAATCTAAAATGTCATCCAGCTGTTTCTGAAAAGGTGCTTAAACTTTTGGGCTTCAGTCACCATAATGGGAAGACTGCCCAATAATAATGTTCCAGATGCACACTACTCTTCAAGTAAAGAACTGAACAACCTGCTTTGGTAAAGATAACTTAGTGACGCAAGTCAACATGTAAAAGAGAGTTTGTTGTCCAAACTGGAGGAAAAACAAACTTGCAGCCCAGCATGAGTGCGTCTGTGAAAGCTGCTCGCTGTGGGTTTTAACACAACAGCAGTATGCCTTGAAAACACTTTTTCCCAGTGGTTAATAATATTAAACTACAAATTGTACACCGAATGGTTCTTGGTCTGCTTAGCAGATTATCCGCACAGAATGAAATCCTTGGCTTTGCATGTTTAGTGACTTGCAGAGTTTGGCACGGTTGTGTATCAAGACAGATTATAGACTTGGCAGCTTTTGTTTCTTCTTGTCCCAATTAAAAGTATTCTGGGTTTTTTTTTCCAAGATTAAAGGAGTGCATTGTTCCACAAATGATGATATATGACATGCTGCTAATTGATAGATGATAGATGATAATAGGAATATACTGACTTTAAATAACAAAGCTATTTCCCTTTCCCATCTAGACATGTTTAAAGCCTTTTCAGGTGTTGTCCTTGAACCTGTCCTCAAAGAAAATATTAAGAGTGTGGTTTGCAAAATGGGAGCATAAAAGTTTAATGTGTTGTTATTGTCGAGATTAAATTCTTTTTCTTCATAAGTGTTGCACAAAATGATCTTCGGGGGGAGGCCAAACTTGATTAGTATTTCTTTCAGTAGGTAAAAGACTTGTTGAAATAGTTTCTCAGAAACTGTTTTTCCAGTGCCAGCGCTCATGCTTTATCACCATCGTGATCATCACGACTTCCAGAGAGTCTGTACTATCAGTTGTTTTCAGATGTCACAGCAGATAAGCAGTGGATTCCTCCGTAATCCTCTCTTGAGACATATTTCAGTTTCAAACCCTGCATTTCTTCTACAGGGAACAGATCATTAACTATAAATGCCTTTCATGTGATGTTTTTTTTTTGCATTGTGACTACATGATTTAGCATTTCACTCAGGAATGCCCCCTGTGCAAAAATTAACTGCCAGCTTGCATAACAGCATGATATAACATTGTATCAGAGACCTGCAAGAGTAATTCCAATAATGCCTGTTCATTTTCCTCACTGACCTGTTACATATTCTACCGCAACACAAGGATTTAGTTTTGAGTCAGTCCAGTCCGTCCATATCTATGGATGGAAAAGGTTAGTTTCAGCAGAGCAGAGAGACCATGCCTGATCATGTGTAAAAACAAATCCTAATCATCTAACAGCGTTCCCAGATCCGCGTAGCTAATAATGGAACGAAAGGAAAACCATGACCTTTCTTTTCTGACATTTTCTCTTCCCATGTTTTTGGTTCTCCCTCTGCAGCCCCCCCCACCTCTCTTGAGTGTCTTTGTTTTCCCCGACTAGATCTCCCTGTACTTTTCCTTAGCTGTCTCACTCCATTTGGTGTTTTCTGAATCTCTCCCCTCTTCCACTGTCTCATCCCATCCTGCCTCCTTCTTGGCCTTGTTTCTGATCGCCTGCTAACAGACACCTCTGGAGCCATCCGAACTTTAATCCAGCAAGCCTAATGGTGGATGTCCGCATTTCTCTCGGAATTAGGCATGGAAAACAGAAGATGCAGACCTGAGTAAAGATTCTGACCACCACCTAATTACTGTTGTGTTACCCACTTTACCAGTTTTATAACCTTGCTCAGCTCTTGCTCGATTGCTGTCTTCCATCGGGCCTCTCTGATCGCCTGCTCCAATTGTGTGTGCACATGTTTAACAAACAGGGCCTCACTTTTAGAAAGAAAGGCTCTGTTCCCTTGGAGGAGACTGTCATCCTGGGGACTTTTCTTGGGGAAAATGCCCCAGGATCCTAACATACAGAGGGGCGATTGTCAACGTCTGAGACCTTCTGAGAACGTACTGTTCTGTAATTAAACCGTTCCACAAAAAGGCCAAAGGGATGTTCTGCACAGTAGTGTAATCCAGCGGGCATATGAGTGTTCCCTGATGTTTGTTTGGTACTTCATATGTTAGAATTGCCAACTTATTATTTTTTATTTTGGAGGGTTTTTACCTACCCAGTTTCTGAGCTGCCCACCTTCGAGCCACTTGTCTTACAACACATCACATGTGAACGCAGACCTGTTCTGGAGGCTCCATCCGATGGGAGGAGAGTTGCGTCCCCCATCCAGGGCACTGTGTGTTCGCAAGAGCCTAGGAAGCTGCAAAGGTTGTTGTTTGTCCACAGCCTAGGAAGTCCTGGCTGACTGTTTCCATCTTCAGCCATCCTGCCTATGGAAGCCCAGTCACGGTCAGCTAGTGACATGACACAAGCTCAAACCTGCAACACCTGAAAGAGATCTCTGCCCATCATTGGCTGAGCGCATCTTTGGAATAAGAGACCCGGCACTGTTTTGTTAGATTTCAACATCAATTTTTTTTTTATCCAATAGTACTACATTCATTGCGATTCTTAATTTTATGTACCGTCGGGGAAACCCCTGTAAATTCAACTTTCCCTGTAAATCTGAAGGTTTGTTATGATACTGAAAGGGAAGACACTGCCTGCTTTGTTCTCTCCAGCTAGAAGGTAATGTAAATACTGTGACGTACCACACTCCCTGATGGAGCACCAGAGTTTCTGCGTGACTGTTTTTGTCTCTTTGCAGAAACAGTCGGTCTGGAGGAGGATTCCTTTTAATTGAATTGTGATTTTTGAGTGCAGACCTCGCAATAGAGGATTGTCTAAAGCTGGGCGTTTGCACGGCTGGCTCGTCTTAGTATTGTGTGGGTGGCTTTAATTTGCTAATTGGGAAGACTGTTTTAACCTTTGGCACCCAACTGTTTTTACAGAGATAGGCCTAGCAAAGCAGGCAGGGCACTGCCTGTACAAGGTTAGCATGCGGACTCTTAACCTTCCGAGCTGGTGCACCCGGCTGCTGCTGATCGTTGCGACAGCCCACGCTTCAGAAACCTTGTCATATTGTGGAACGTTACCCCTTGACAGCCGCGCCTTTCCTCTTGGAGCTCATACCCCCAGGCACAATGTGCCAGTGGTTAAACTTGCCCAGCCGTCTTTCCCAACTTACCTTCTGTGCAAAGAAAATGCATTTAAAAAAGAAACCTGTATTGTTCATTTTTTGTTTTGGGAATGTTCCCACCTTGAATTTCATTCTCGGGCACAGATAAGCACAGCTGAAGGCTTATTCTGTTTTTGCTGTGTAATAGTGTAATCGATAAGACTTGGTGCCAGGAATCTGCAGTAGATGTGGTCTTTGTTTTGCCTGCCTTTCGAGCTATCTTATGAATAGGTGGAGTGTTTGCAGTAGCTCTCTGTATAACAGTTAAATGGATTTTCTAGCTGAAGTGAGTATAATGGGGTCCTTTAGGTATTAATATACCTTGTGTCATTGGCATGTTTATCCCGGAAGAGACTGGAAGAAAACCTTGTGTACTCATTGTGTTCATTTAACCTATGGGAAGTGTCCTTCTTGTGTTTGCCCAGCTGTCAGATGTTCCCAGTGCAGTGCATGGGCGGTGAAGAGATAAGAGAAGATTTTATTGTCCCTTGAGGGAAATTTTTTATGGATGCCCAGCACTCCTGTGCGTTTAAATAGAATGCAAAAAAAGAAGAAAAGAAAAACGTTGCACACTATTCTGTTACAAAAAATAAGAAAAACATTGCACATCACTATTGCACTATGTACAGTATAACACTTAACAACATGTAACATTTATAACACATCACAAAATGTATTGCATTTAAGTGGGTTGTTAGAGTCAAAACTGAGTTTATCCTTGACATTTGTGTTGACAGCTTTAATGGATAGTGGAACAAAGGAAGGTTTGTATCTGTTTGACTTGCATTTGGGAACCCTAAAACGTTTGCCAGAAGGAAGAAGTTGATATTCAGAGTTGGGGATGCGGGAAGGATCTGATATCATTTTTCATTATTTCAGATAAGCCACTGAAACAACGCCAAAATCTGTAGCTGACTGATTCCACTAGCCATGGGAATCTTTTTGACTATTACTCAGCATTACGAGCCATATTAATCTGCGTGCACAACGAGGTGAGGGTTCTTTAAACCAGTCATATGATACTAAAGCAGTATCCATTAACACTTGCATCCACGTCGGCTTAAATCTCCATGCTGATGCTGAAATGGGAGGCATGGGCAGGTTTCCAAGAAAATTGGACAGGAAGGCTGATCGATAGCTCCGAGAGTCCATTGAGCTGAACATTGTTACCATGGTGTTAAATCTGAGCTGGTGTTTTGCAGGGTTGTGTGTCAGTGCTTGGATTAAGTAAGTGGAGAAAAAAATATGTTTGAACTTTAAAGGGGATGGTTAAATAAATTGGATCTAGCCAGAATGACCCGTTCGTTTTAGTACTGATTTGCAGATGTCGTTTGTTCCTCGTTCCTACGTGTGATGTCTGCTGTACTATATCCTATATGCTCAGGCAACCATATGTGTAATCTTTGGCAGCTTTTATTGAACCGCAACAGGTCCCTCACCTCTGTGTTGAGCTTCTATAACACTGCCTGCAAAGCACACGTGGGTTGCTGGAGCAGGGTGAGCCGTGCCTGTTTAAAAATGCTGCCGATTGCAAAGGGCGTCAGATTATTTTGACTAGCCAGTATATCTCAGTACTTTCTTGAGCAAAAATCGCAGTACATAGCATGTCGGATGATTCCACTGTTAGAGGCATGCTCATTTTAATGTGGCGGGACTCTGCATACATCACCTGGTCCCAGAAAGCTAGGGTTTTCTTTTGGTCTTTGTGCCAGCTGAGAGTCGGGGATTTGGAGGGGCAGCATTTCACAGGGTCATCCCAGACACGCAGATCAGCTGTTTAACATGCCTGTCCTGTCGTGCAGATTACAGAGCTGCTGGACGATGAGAAGCTGGAGCAGTGCGAGGAGTTGCCCCGTGACAGTGAGGACAGTCCGGAAGATGAGCAGCCAAAAGAACCTCCTGGGCTTACCCAGGTCACCCCCTCCTCCAGGTAAGGGCTTTGGGACTGACCCCTCCGTGCTCACCACTCCCCACGCCTCCGCTGTTCAGTCTTTGGAAGGACTGAAGCCCAAAGACAGAGCTACCTTGAGCTGCGTGTCACATTTTTGAAATAATAGGAGGACATCTAGAAACTCGTTTTGTAAATGCTGTGTAAAGGGGTCGAAAGGGAACACCGTGTGTGAGTAAAAGTTTTACAACTGTAGTCTTTTTATCTGCTTTATCGTCTTGTAGAAAAGGCGTGTTGTTTGTCAGAGGAGAACACTGCAGGCACCCCGTGGTTTTTAAGATGTTGCGCTCGAAGTCATGCTGCCCAGTTTGTGAATGAAGCTGAGATTCTTCCCACAGTGGAAGGTATCGGCTAAGGTCGGTTTCAGACAACCCTAAACCTTTATGCAGCCAGTCTGCAGACACCAATAGGCAGCAGGGCAGGGCTTAGATGGGCTGACCTGAGACACCAGGTTTGAGATAGGTACTGAAACAGGAACAGTCCTTGGACTGTTTTGATTGTTCTTAAGCTTAATGGAAAGGGTAACTGAAGGGTAAGTTTTGTGAAAGTTTCCATTATGCTAGAATAGTTCAGGTGGGCTTTGTTTTTAAATATCAAAGCACATGGAAATGTGAGAAACATGTGAAAGAGAGCCGTAGTCATGTCTGAATGCCAGCTAACCCCATCAGAAATTAGACATTTTATTTTCTCATTTCCTTGCTCAATATTTTATATGTGATATTCCAAAAGATTTACAGCAGTAAATATAAAACTCTTTTCTCCACACACTTAATTTTGTTACTGAGCCTATCTTGAAGTTCATTATTTTAAAATTGAAAGTTTACCTACCTTGAAGATCGTGAGTTTGGAACAGGAGCACGCATGTGCCCATATCAGGATTTCTGTTGTAGAATTGAGCCCGTTTGTAAGAATACAGCTGTCTGTTGGGGGCTGAAGACTGTGCCAGTTGCCGTTCTTTGGTCCAGTGACTCTGTGGTTTAATGTGATTAAATATAGTCGTCCTTAATCCGCAAAAACAGACAGACGTGTGCGCCAAGGTATTACAGACAGATCTGTAGTGATATGGTTGGCAGGCACTGATGGGTCCCTATATGGTCTGCAATATGAGATGTTGTTTAATTCAAATAAAGCCCTGTAGAAATGCATTTCCTGACATTCTGCAATCTGTGGACTGAATGACTGCATTACCCTCTGTGGTGGTGTGGTGGCCAGCCACTGCAGGGAGGCAGAATCTAGCAGGGGTAATTTCTGTAATCTCGGCTCCTTGAATGGGAGACCTTCTTCCCGAGCGGTGGAGGAGGACAGACGTTCTGTCGATCTGGAGCAAGTTCGGGTTTCTGACCTCCGAAGAAGCTTAAACTGCCAGCTGTGGCTGGATTAAGGGCAAGACTGTCACGCGTGGCTCATGGAGTTCATTGGTGACTCATTTAATTGATGTTGACGGGAAGAGAAAAGGCAACAACATGACCGGCGTTTGCAGCTCAAGGAAGGGCAGTGCTCTGCAGGTCCCAGTCAACACTGTGAGCACTAGAAATTGGTCAAGAAAGACACATGCTTCTTGATACTGGGAAGAAGAACCAGTCTGGATGTGTAATAGTAGAAAGAAATAAGAGAATAACCTTTTTGTTATAGTTGAATTCTTTTAAGGAAATCTATGTAAAGGTGATTTGTGAAATCAAAGGTTTTGGTGATTTTTTTTTTCTTTTGTGGGATTTCATGGGATGTGCATCAGTGCTAATTAAATGATCGGACAGTAGGATACGAGAATTCCCCCAAATCAGCAGTTTATTTTATTAATGTCGCAAATGCATGGTTTGTGTGGCCACACTTTGCCACATTCTGTCCCAGTGCTGTCATAAATAGCATTCAAATCCCTGCATATTGAAGTAAAATCACAGCAAAAAGGCTTCTGTATTGAAGCTCCGGCCCGGACAGCTGCTAGGCACCTTCTGAGATTCGGAGCGGCCAGTGGAATACTAAAGAGGCAAAATCTGCATTTAATCACGGAGAAAAAAGCCAGAGTATTTAAAGACCTTGTTTGTGTCATGGCCTGGGCTCCCATTAAAAGTGATCCCTTTTGCCCCAGTGTGCTGGGAAATCTGAAATATACCCTCTTGCTAAAATGCTAAATATAAATAAGCCTTGTTGTGTACCCCACTCCCACCCCTTCAGCATGCCACGGCCAGTATTTTCTGTGATGGCAAGACGACGGGTTTCTGGAGCGCTTTGTGGTTTGTTGGCTGAGCCACAGAAATGCAGGAGCGGCTGTCCGTGTCGGGACCACTGCCCAGGAAGCTAATGGCTTGCTGTCCAAATGAAAGTGTATGCTCTCGTCTGCTCCCCAGCCCCTGGAGAAGGCAATGTGGCTTGCAACCCAAGACAGAAAGGCCTCTGATGCAGCCCCCTTGATATAGAATCTGATTCTCTTGAGTGCCAGGCATATCTGCCCCAGAGGTTACTGTGAGTCACAGGAAGGATATTTATCAAATGCATTTAACCGTGTTGAGGAGTCGGTGTTATTTATGACGACGGCTGGACCTCCATGTTTCAGGAAAGCTCTCCCTGTCGTTTCGACAGGTAGCAGAACCTTCATGCTGCCTGGGGTTTTGTACTGCTCTATTCAGTGTAGGTCAGAAGCATAGCTGGGCAGTAGGGTTGTCCAGACTGTGACCTACCCTGTACATGCTTGAGTATCAATGTTTTTCTGTAGTGTCATTACCTCACGGCACCATCCCTGTCCTTGTACCTCAGTCAGATATAATGACTCTCATTGTTGTATTATGTAAAATCCTGCATGGAGAAACCTCTGATCTAATTAAGAGCTGGCAAGCTTTAAAATTCTGTACAGCAGAGTGTTAAGCCTAACCGAGAGCAGGACAAGCTGAAAACCAGAAAAGGTCTGGAACCCAAAATCGAGAGTTTGGGAACTCATTCTTTAGCCCAAACCCACACGTTATTTCCAGTGTTCACTGTGGTTTCTGCTCTTGTACAACTTGTACTGTTGTTAGGGTTAAGGATAGACTTTAGCGTACTGTTAATGGGCATTGCCATTTGAGATGAATAAAACTGCGTGGGCAGTGGTGTGTTCACAGATGAGCTGAGTTGTTTGAACAGTTCCCTCTGCAGTCATGGGCCAAGCAGCAGGAAAACAGGATCTGCTGTGAGATGAGGTATTCAGTGGGATTGTTGATGTTCTGCGCAGGGAACAAAGACTTAGTTTCTTACAATAAAGAAGGCAGTGTGGATTCGGCGAAAAGCTGCTGACATGCCGAACGCATTTTATGATTTCGGAATGTGTTGGTGACACACAATGTGCTTCTTGGCATAAACATTTGCAGCGTTCTGCAGCTAGTGGAAATTTCTTTGTTGGGTTGGTAGAGACAGACCAGGGACTCTCTTCAGCAGTGATACTCCGTTTCCTCACATGTGGAGTAGGAATAAAAACTAACAATATTCCTCTGGTAGTTCAAAGCCACAGTGAAAGGCATGTAAGTCTGTTACTGGTGGCTGACCGAGGTCCAAGGGCAGAATGCATTATAAGTTCTGAGCTGCAGTTGTGTACTTTCCCAAAGAAGTGCCAGAGCCCAGCCTACAGATACCAGAAGAAAAGCTCACAGTAGGAAAAAAGCTCTGTGTGGAAAGAAAAAAAAACAGAATCTGTGTTTCGAAGGGCTCCCCCAGAACTAATCCAGCAGAATTCCCCCCCCAGTGCTAACGTCAAAGTAAAACCAGACAGGTGGTTTCTGATCTCATCTTTGTATGCACAGAGGGGTAGATTTCTCTTTTCTGATTTTTAATGTTTTGACTGCTTTTTCGACTAAGAATTCCCAAAATGGGGAGAGTGTCTGTAAAACAAGAGGAATTATATTGTAAATAGTCTAATTTCTTATCTTCTGAGCTTGATAGAAGAGAATGTTTCTTCAAGGGCGTTGCAGGGGAGCAAATAGATATTGGCGCTGGGTTGCTCGGAGCACCACAGAACTCACCGTCAGCTATTAAAAGACTTGTTTATTTATAATGCGTTTGCAAGCTCAACACATGTAAACGCTCGTGCGAAGGCAGGCTCTGACCTTCCCGAAGGCTTGCTCACGGAGTCCGGCGTTCTGAATCGTGTACGCGTTTCAGCACAGGCCCCGAAATAACTCGCCGTCTTCTGATTCTGCACCTCTCCGGCCCGGCGGGGAGCCCGGTGCCCGCGCGGGTCATGTGAAGGCAGCTGGGAGGGGGGTGTCGGCGGGGCTTCCTGAGCTCCTTGTTCCGGGGGGGCAGCGGGAAGGGTGGGGGGTGGTTTCAGCGAGGTCTTCTTTTTCTGAGCTGCAGCCGATTGGCTGGCGAGGCTGGGCAGGCTGCTCGGCTGCGGCGCTCAGCTGTGTATTTGAGCTGAGCTCCGGATTGTCGACTGCGGCACTTTTCTCAGCAGGGCTGACCTACTCACAGCCAGGCAGCAGAAAGAATCTGCAGCATGAACCCCAGCGGTCTGTGTTCACAGTTTAACATATTGATGCAGACCTTGTCACCTCAGAGCGCCCAGTCCGGATAATACGACGCACCCTCCCCCCCCCACCCAGTACACCCCAAAACAAAAGAAAAAATGGCCTGCGAAATTCTACTTCACAGGTAAATGTGACCGAGGAGAAGGGAGAAGGGGGGTGGCGGGCATGGTGTTTAATGGGATGCATGTCGACAAGACCTGTTTTCGTCGCGGTGTGATGTAGTCCTGTTTAGATGTCTTTGGTATCGATTATGAGCCACTTTTAACTCTCTGCACCCGATAGAATTCGGAGATAACTGCTTCTCAATTTTCGTGCTGAGATATTAGTTAAGGGACCTAGTGATGGGAACGCAGCATGTATGTTCTCCATAACATTGCGTGCTGTCAGCAGTAATCTTCACAGGTTGTTGCAGTGGGTCGGATGTAGTTCCCGTGTGTGAATAACTATTAACAATCAAAGGTAAATCTGTTTTATTCCTGGGTCGAAGTGGAGAATGATGACATTGCTCCCTGTCCCTCCTTGTGGCACAGCTCTCTTTATCGAGATGCATTCTTGCACAGAGACGTGGCGCGTGATTACAGCACAGCTGCATCTCAGATTAGTGGTTCTTGTGCTAAATTGTCATTTTAAATCCATGTTGTGCTCTGACAGGCTTTAATCGCATGCAGCAGTTCGTCATCGTGGTCTGTCTCTAATGAGCCTCCATCATTACAACGAATAATGCAAGCCTTTACAGGCACTAACCCCTTCAAATAGATAAATGAGAGCCGTAGTTGTAATCCAGTTAATCTAGTTGGGAATGCTTAGAAATAGATCTTGATGCTTATGCTTCTTTGGGGGGGAAAAATGCTGTTCTTTAGGAATGTTAAAATGTTAGTTTTTTCATTTAAGTTTTTCAGCTTGTATTCTGCAAAACTGCAGAGGATTTGTATGTAGATTATTAATCGGTGTGATTGTAGCAAATAAACTTAGGCTAGAACGTCATTTAAAATGCGTTACAAGACGTGATCAAGATGTGACACATAGCCTTACGGTTTAGCAATTGGCATTGCAGATTTAGGATTCTTAAATATTTACTGTATCTACGTGTCTGAGGAAATCCCAAGACAGCTTAACAATTTAATCAATTTCCCTTCGGGATCAATAAAGTCTTATCTATCTATCTTAACAATAAGGTGAATAATGACTTGCCACTCCTCATCTGCCACCCCACTCCTCATCTGCCACCCCACTTGGAGACTGTCAAACAGGCAAGGGAGGGAGAGAGAGGAGAGTAACTGTGTTAATGACTGCCATTACCTCTGTTCTTTCCTGCCTTGAGGAGCTCTCATGCACCGTAGTTGAACTTGGAAGCAAAACTGGGAGTCGAATTTCCTGAATGTGGGGAAAAGCTCAACGGCTGGATTTCTTTAGAGATTGATTTCACGAGAAAATATTGCATTGAGAGCGCATCCTTTTGTCAGCACGGTTTAACTTAATGGCTTTCTTTCGTGTACAAAAACCCAGGCTAAAGTTTCTAACAATGTTTTGCTTAAAATTGAAATGTCAGCAGAGCAGTTAGTGGGATTGTTGTTTTCGGTTATACTGTGTTTACTTGGCCAGCAAGAGCCTTGTGTAGAATTACAAATGTCAACAACTGAGCATAGAAGCCTTTGTACGGGACTGTTTACTCCGTAAAAACTGTTTCCATAAATGTGCTTTGCAAGTGTAACTTTCACAGTCTAGACCAGGGGTCTCAAAATATGGACCATCCTGAAAAGTGAAAGTATGGTCAATAAGATGCAGCTGCTCACAGATTCAGGGATTCCTGTGTTGTGGTCTGTAACTTGCCGATATTGCACTCTTCCTTGGATTTACCTGTAACATCTCAATTGCTCAAGCCTTGGAGCAAAAAACAGCTAATTGAACAAACAGTTCATTTGGATGAGAAGGAAAGCAGGAAGCTCACTAGGTCTCAAGGCCCAGGAATCATTCACAGTAGTGTTATACTGTTATACTGATTGGTTAGGCCTGGGATGGGGGGGAAGAAACATCAACTGATCCAGTAAGTCTGTGGGCTCGTGTTGCCCAAGTCCTTTACGACTGACGAGTTAAAGAGAACCCTTGAGAACTACTCAAAAGTTTCTAAAATTCGCATTTTAAAAATAAATATACGGAAGGGTTCCTTGTTTTATTGGTAGCGGTCAAAACGGTTCTGGCAAGGAAAACAAAACTGTTTTTTTTTTTTCCCTTGTGTTCCAAGATGGCTGCAAACTGTGTTTACTGTATTTTTCCCGAATCCGTAATGCATTGCTGGGGCCAGGGACATATCGAGTGTGCTTGCTGATAAGTATTAGTCATCCCGCCAGGAATGGCTTTCAGAAGTCTGCTGGCTCTGCTTTAGAAGTTAAGGGAGCGGGAAGGGCCTCCTACCTGACTTCTGTTTGTGCAGTCCCTCACAGGAGGGTTTGTGTGCCCGTGTATTAGATTTCATTAGGCATGTGTCCTGGTTACTGCGTGGGAATGTCTAGCACTGAGGGTGTTATGTTTTGTGTCACATATTTGGGTATTTATGTTGCTTTTAGATGTGTCTGTAAAGAGCTCTGATAGAATGTCCTGTCCCCCAGGCCCACCTTATCAGGAACCACTGTTCATGTGTTTTTTCTCAGTGGCCTTGGGGAAGAGGAGTCGGGTCTTTCTGGGCAGCAGGCAGTGTGATCACTGTGGTGGCTGAAATGGAGGGGGGGGGAATTCAAGAGACTTTCTGAAGCAGCTCTGCTTGTAGTGATTAACTTGACTCTTTTCACCTTTTGAGGTTATTAAATTTCAGGCTTATTCTGTAAGCCCTAAGACTCAGAATCTACTGTCCAGGACCTAGACCTAACTTGGATGAACACTATTGCGTATGTGACTTGCAGTAATTTATTACCTATATAATTTTACAGGTGTAATGGAATAAAACAGTATTAGTCACTAATGTGATTTCCACATAACACCTTTTAATTCCTTCTTTAAAGTTTAAGTGTGGGAGGACATCACACTTGTGCTATTTTTGTGTTGGTGATACCTTGTATAAATAGTTCAGAGGTTAGGAGCCACACTGTAATGCTGTGTGCCTTTCTCCTTACGTCAATGGCTTTCCGAATGGTCTTCCATAGTGTCCTGAACTTTAGACCCTTTGCAGACATTTTAAACATGCAAGGGAAGCGACTGCAGTCTGAACAGAACGGAGTCTGTCTTTTGCCTTTGTTTCCTGTTTAAAAACTGTGTATTCCAGTGCGGGGTCACTGTGACTACTTTCAGAGCATCCTGTTCCGTCTGTGGTCTGTATTGGAAAAAAAAGGTTGCTGTATGATTTTGGTGAAAATAGCTCTGAGGTGGCGTCTAAATGCATACATGGTTTTCAGCTCTTGTGTGCCTGCATGCACTCACTTGGTGTACTGCTGTGTAAAACCTTTTGGATCTTCGAGCCCATGAGTAGCCTGCTCTGGTGCACCCTTCTCCCTCAGTGCCCACAGATTTTATCAGTATCTGTAAAAGTAGTGTAATCAGCTGGAAATGTTGATGCACCCTCATACCACCCGGCAGCGAGGTTTTGAATCCAACTCTGCCTGGCTGCCCTTTACCCTGTCTGTTCCTTAAGGAGAGATTCCCGAAATGCTCCACTTGGGAGAGGAGGAAGTTTGAACCCTCCCCTCCTTCCCATTTTATTGGGTGATCTGCATGGTGGGAGAAGGGAGAACTGTTACCTCTCATTGCCATTGTCCTGATGTGATTATTGTAAGAGCTACAGAAGACTTTCGGTTTAGCAGAAGGGGGTGATGGGGTAGATAGTGTGGGGGTTGGGGGAGTGCTCCCTTCAAACCCACACCTGGTCTGTCTGGCACCTCTGGGCAAACGAAGGGCTCCGATTAGCTGTAATTAGTGCGGCCAAGTTTTCATTAAGCGCCGTGAAAGTGCTGAACACTACAAAGGAGGGCTCTTAGCCTCACTGATGGAGCCAGCCAGGCTGGACGCTACACTTCATGTCTTGCACAACAGGCTTGTAGTTAATTAGGGTGAATCAGAACCATGCATCTTGAGGTTTCTGTGCTCTGCTGCCCGCAGTGAGGAAGCCAAACTGAGCAGCTCTGATGCGTTCTTATGAGAAGCATAGAGCCCGTTTTGGTTATTGCGTAACAGGTTGGAAATTCTGCCAGTCTCATGTATCTTTTCTTCTCCTTTTTTTTTTCCAGCTCTCACATCTCTCCCATCAGCATTTTGCCAGCCTCTGCAGAGTAAGTAAAAAAATCACCACTTTAATTATTTGAGGGCATACAAAAAAAAAAGCAGTTTAACTCCCAGACATACAAATAGCACCATCACCTGAAGTGCTGCCCCAGTTCTTCCCGTGTCTCTGACGGTGGTGCTGCTCCAGGAGACCGTCTTGTCTTGTCTCGGCTCGGATACACTAGATAGAGACTGGGGTTGCAGGCGCAAGTGAGGGCACCTTATCGGACAGGGGATCCAAGATGGAGCAATTCTTGGGACTGGAAAAGAAATTAATCAGAATGCTGGCGTGGACTAACAAGGGGGAGCAGCTCTTACAGTAGGATTGCTTTGCAACCGTTGTCCATCTTGTTTGTCTGCACAAACGTAGATGTTAAAATCTAATTGCAGCAATGCTGTGCATGCTTCAGAAAACATTACACATGTATATTTACACACACACACACCGTTCACATCTGCCTGTGTGTTTTCAAATTTTACTGGAGAGGATGTTCATTAAATTTCAGGGGACTTTACGTTCTTGTTTTTCAAATTTCCACTTTTGAAATAGTAATTTTAAAAGATTTTAAAGGCTTATAAAATACTAATACTAATACTTATTTTTCTTAGTAAAGAAAACCAGTCCTGAATTACGGAGATTAATTTTGTGTTTCTGAAGCAAGAGGCTTTGATGTCTGTGTTCAGAAGCATCAGACGGCATCATTGAAAGAACAGGCATTTTAAAAGAAAGCTTCAGCCACCCATTTTCCAGACCTATGTTTTAATCTTCACCTCGTATCTAACATTTAGTAAAATTTCCTTTCTGGGGAAGACAGTTCAGATATTTATCACTTTATCTTCCCACTCTGTAGTTCTCAGTGTTCTGACAGCTGAGCTGCTGGAAAACAGGCACTTTGAGACTTCGAAGTCAGTTTTATCTTGATATTGCTCGTGATTACAGTGAGCAGAGCTTGGCGACCATGTGTCTGCACCAGAACTGAGAATTTGTTTTGACTTTGACCTTGAGGAAGCTTGAAGTCTATCTGGAAGCAGATTGTTTTTAGCACCTGCTTGTTCCTAGCAACGCGTGTGTGAATTTTTCTGAAGCCCTCTGTGCACGCCATGTGCAGGGGACCGGAGAACCACCAGCAGACTGTTGATCCTAAGATAAATGACCCCTCCTTGTCTGTGACGTGACGGCAACTTGGTTTTCATCGTAACCGAAACCAAACATCAGTAACCTTTGTATTTACTTTTCTGAAGCGTTTAATTAGACAATGCATGGTTGTCCTTCATAATGTGGTTACGTGCATACCTATGGGCTGCAGTGTTCGGCTGCACTGATCAGCAATCGTGATTCCAATTGTAAATTAAAATGCAGTTCAGTTGCAGCCGGTCCTTCTGGGAGCGTGCTTGCCTGCAGTGATGCTTTCTGTGTTTGTGCAGTATAATCGAGAGGACGATACGTGCTGCAGTGGAGCAGCACCTGTTCGACCTACAGAGCACGATCGACCAAGGGATCAGCAGCTATGAGAGCCGAGGACCACCCAGCCAGGAGGACGAGAGGTAAGGAGCACCCAGGTTACGGAGCCCTGCCAGATTCTGAGGATCGGCCCGATCGTACCAGCTGACCCGTGAGATGTGCCAAGTGCAGAAACCAGCAGGCTCGAGCACCATCTTGTGCTCTCCAGCTAGTACGTCATGCAGGGTCTCACGGAGATGCTACGTAAGGATTGTATTGTTGGGTAAATTGCACATCACCCCTGGCTGTGCTCATTTTCGCACCATGGAGCTCGGTGTGACCCACGAATGGAGAGCACTGGTACCATACAAAAGCGTGAACCATGCACACGCTTTCATGGAGCCAAGCCTGTAAGGCTAGTACAATGCTGGGGTTGTTTGTACAGGGTAGCAATACAGAGTATTGGAGTTCACGCTTAAATAGTTACGTTGGCAACCATGTTATCAAAAAGCTCTGATTTATCTCAGTAGAGAGAGAATAGGGTGTGATAGGATTCCTGCTGTTGTGTAAACACACAGGAATCTGTCTGGAGCCACTTTTTTTTTTGCTGCTTAATGTTTTATTTATACATATCATTTCAGCAGCATAATAAGGTTTTCTTCCATTGTGTCCCAAACTTGAGACCATTTGCAGACTTTTAAATCCTGGAAGGGAAGCGACTCAGCCTTTGTTTCCTGTTTACAATTAAAATCTTAACTGTAGAAAAACTAAATCAACCTCTTAGGAACCTTCTACAAAATAGTCTTCCAACTTTCTTGGAATGAACGGGGAAGGCGTCTTGTGTTCGTGAGTGCATACTATAGTTATTGTGCTGCATTAAAATCGGCAGCAACGGACCCAGTGACTCACAAATTACAAACCAGTTCAATAAAAGCACGTTAAAAAGCTTTTTTGGCTTTTCACTTAAAATCTAAGGCCTTTTGTTTTGTTGGCAATTTAAAGCTTTGGTCCCGGATTATTTGAGAAGATGTTCTTGGGAGGGAGATCTGCTTCCCTTTGCTTTTGGAAAATTCGGATGTAGCTTTAAGAGATTCAAGACTCCTGCTCTATGAACAGCCTTAGACATTAAGTCTGATGGTAATTGGTCCTGACATTGTTCTTGGGGGGTGGTCCTCACCCTCATGTGTTTGTACCCCAGGGAAGGTGGCAGTGAGGAGCCTTCAGAGGGAGATGCTGAGGCTACACAGCCTGGCAAGGAGACAGCTGAGGCTGCAGGAGAAATGACTGAGAGTGAACAGGTAAGATATGATACCCCCCCCCCCCCCCCCCCCCACACACACAGAGGTCTACCTGGCACCCTCCTCACCCATTCTGCTCGCAGAGCCACATAGCTGGGAGCCCAGGCTATAAGTTGGGTTAGCTTGTGAAGTGATGAGTGAGCCAGTTAGCTTATATCATTCCTCTTGTTGACATTTGCAAGGCCAATTGCTGATAGCATGGTTTATTTTAAAGTATAATGAAAGATGCAGTTTACACACATGGAAAAACTCTCCTAAAGCTGGCAGTAGCTGTTTTAAGGACAGTTCTTTCCTAAATACAGATGGTATCTGTGTGCAGTTATCTTCCCTCGTGTTCCAGCTAAGAGACTTCTTAGTTTGAACTTCTAAACACAGCTCTAGATAGGATTCAGAGTGCTATGTTGAAAATTAATTCATTTTAGGTTTGCCCAGGGTTTTTGCGCAAGCAAAACAGGATGTGCTTTTTTCTAGTCTAGGAAGAGACTAAATAATATGAATGATCTGATTTAGACCAGGTTTATGACCAAACAAGTCCTGCTCTGAGGTTTACTGTGTTCATCGCAGTGTTTTCACAGGATGTCGGGCACTATGGGGGCTCTGTGGTGCAGTACTGTAGTTTCTCCCCTGCCCAGCTTTGCTGTGCATTTTGGCTTTTTAAAGTGTTTCCCAGTCCAACCTGTGGTTGCCCAGCTCTGGACCAGCCCGTGAGCACTAGAAAGAGGGGCAGGAGGTTTGTTTTTCACTGATGTTCTGTTGAGAGTTCCTTTCCCTCCAATTGACAAGGTCCAGAGCTGGGCAAAGCATCCCCTGTCAAACCCAGAGATGCATGTGCTAAAAGGAGTCGCTTGTTTTTAGACCAGGGAGGGACAGCAGTGTATGTCCACTGCAGACCAGCAGCCTTCAGGCCTCTGTGGAAATGCACAATCCGTCAGAACAATGTTGCACATGGGGCCAATAGTAATGCAATTATATCCTCTTATAAAGGCAATTGCTTTCACCTGAGTAAACTTGGAGCTACCAGAGCACTGGGGTCTGAATATGTATGCAAGCAGCATATTTCCATTTGTGACTTTTAAGATATCTGCTGACAAATGCCATAACTGTCTTTTAAAAGTTTTCTGTTTGAACACGTGAGTTTGTAATAAAAATAATGATTGGAAAATGATGTGTCGTTTGTAGTCCAGCAACATTTTAAAACTTTTAAAATACTCTTAATACTCCGGTGCATTTATCAGTGATTCCATTGTGCCGTTCAAAGGAGCCGATGGAAGTTTCAAAGTTGTGCCGTCTTTCTGCTTGTCTGCAGGCTGCAGGGGACCCCTCTGCTGAGATCGCCACCTTGCTGGAGAATTGTGGGGTGAGCCAGAATACCAAAGATCTGGTCGATGCGGAAAACATCATCAATACAGCCAGGTAGTGTGGTGGTGACAAATGCCCCCATCTTTCATAAGAGGCAAAGATTCTGTAGGCTTGACAGCATATAACGCAAAGGCAGGGGACTGTCGCTAGAGCTGGCATAAGCTGTATTCAGGCACCTGTGTGGACCTTTTCTCATTTTGATGAGAAGTCAGATTGCAGTATCCATCTAGTGAGGATTACGGTTTTTAATCTTGAAAGACACATTCTTGGCAGGAACTTTGTTTTTGTAATCTGCAGATAGCCGGCTTGCCAAAAGTGTGTTAGCAAGTCTATAAAGCCATCTGTTTTAGTTGGTCATAAAGGGGTCACTTAGAAAACAGTGCATTGTTAGGGAATTATCTTAGGACATTTCATCGTTTTGACGGGCCCGGTGAAAGTGTGGTCTGTTCAGGTTAACCATGTTGGAATGCAAGTTGCCCGTTTGTGAAACAAAGCAGTGCCTTGGCTTTCAGCCCAGGATCCAGTGAACTTTAAACTAATTCTTTAGGCTACTATTTAGACAACTTATATATTGACTTTTATTTAAATACATTTATACATAGTGACTAAAGAATTGCACATTTTCCATCTGGAAACAGAGTACTTCTCCACAAGGCAAGCAGACTTCTGATGGTTTCTATATTTGCGTTCCTTTTCTCCGGCACTTTGTATTTTATCTTTACCAAGAGACAGCCTCGGTTGCAGACCGGCTCTGAAGGCTTTCAGATAATTGGTTCTGTGTAAAGCAGGTCTGTCAGGACTGCAGCTTAATTGATGTTTATTGGTTCAATGGGAAATATTTTATGCTTTTTCGAAGTCTCTTAAAGCTAGTAATTTTAACAGACTACCTTAATTCAGTAGTTATTAAAACTATTTTCAGGCTCATCTAAAAGCTTTACCTTTTTTTTTTATTTAATCAACTATTAGAGGAGTAGAATAATTGAAGGCTTGAGCTGAAACTAAGCATGAGAATTCTCTTGTCCTGCAGGGAAAAAAGCTTATTCCCCTGGTTCATGCTTTGTAGGAAGGTTTTGAAGTAGTCAGCACTGGTTGGCCAGGTTGTTCTAATTTGTTCAGGTTTTACCATTTTAGTTTTTTATGCCTTTGAGAAAATCGCATCTTGTTTCTCTTGTTTTTATTCTTGTTCTGTAAATCCAACATGTTGGATTGAAGTGTTGAAGTGACAGTTTTTTGTGTTGCACTTTATTTGTAGGCAGGAAAGCTGCCAGGATCCTGAGAGAGGCTCTGTAGCTGATCTCATCACATGTGTAAGTCCACAGCATTGCTGGAAAAGTCCAGCGCTTTTTTAAAGCAATATTCCTCTCGGGATTCAACCTAAGCTATGTGTAAAAATAACCTTCCAAGTTTGTAAAAATAATGCAGGGTATATTACTTTATGCACATGGCTGAAGCAGGTTTCAAGCACCAGCAGGATAGTTCTGGAGATGGGTGAGAATGAGGAGAGGGGATTATTCATAACGGGTCAGGAGTTCCCAAGTATCTGTCCTGATGCCTTTCTGGTCTTGGAAATTAAAACATGCTTATTGATCTGCTGTCCCCTCTGCTTATCACGAAATAACGGGTTTAATTAAAAGGTAGGACAAAACCTGAATCTTAATTTTTCATGCACAGGAGGAAAGATACCGAAGAAGAAACTAGGTTAGGGGCTTAAGAGAAGCTTTTTAAGAGGGGCCTGACTGGGCTTTAGGATTCAGTAAGGAGCTCCTAATTTCGGGCACTGTCTCCTCTCTCCCTTCAGGAATGGCTAGTCCCTTTCCTTTTCAATTTCTTATAAATATAGCCCATTGTAATTATACAAAAGCAAGCTTTCGCTATCAGGCAGTGGAAGCAAAGAGGGACTTTACAGACGGGTGGGACGCTGAGTGTGTGGCTTCTCCATCTTCCCTGATTACTGCCCGACTCCTCTCCCTCCTCCAGGTGCCCAGCGGGGAGGAGCCCGACCTGAATGCCAACTCCGGGTCGGGGGGGTGCCCCACCCCTCCCTTCGACCTGCGTGGGATCTTCCAAGATGGGGAGTGGGAAGGTAACTTCTGCTTCCAGTTATACGCGCTGTCGGAGCTGGGACATGGAAAAAGGACGCTCTCAGAGCGATTTTCTTGTAACCTTGGGTTATTAAACTGGGTCAGCTTTAGGATGGGAGAGCCCAGCTTTGGAGACATAACGCTACTGTCCATTTCCTAAGTGTTGAGTGGCATAGAGAGCAGTTGCATTGTTTGACTTTGTTATCCAGCTTAAATAAACCTTTTGTTAAGGATTTTCAGGGTAATGCAGAATGCGTTAACGTGTATTTGTATGCACGACCCCCCGTTGTTCCCAAGATTAATTTCTCCAATTTTGATTCAGCAATCACTTTGCAGACAGTCTGTCCTGATGCGCTGCTTTCATTTCCCCAGTTACTTCATCTGGAAAGTGCTGAGCATTAGCTTGAAGTCATAATGACTTTAACTGCTGCTCTTTGTGGCTTATCTCAGTGTTGATTAAAAATGGTAGTATCTTGAGTAAAACCAAGTGAGTCATCCCAGACTAACCATATGGATGTACAGGGGATTTAACACTTGAATGCACGTTTTGTCATGTTTGGCTCAGGGATCCGACTAAATCGTTTATCGTAATTTGAGTACCTTGCCCTCTGTAGCTTGTGATTTAGTAGGTAGTGGAAAAAATACAGCCTCAAGTGTCGTCTCTTCTCTTTATTTATGGAATGATTGGCTTTGGAGGAACATTGCTTTATCTCTGGTGGAACACTAAGTTCAGACCTGATGGAAGTGGGGTGCTTAGCCCGGTGACGATGATCTTTTTCGGGAACAGCTGTGATTGGAAATGAAAGCAGAGCGTGGGGGAGGCTGCAGGAGGCGGTGCTGAGACACGAATGAGCCCCTGAATCCCGAATCTCGCTGCTCTCTGGCTGGTGGTGGTGCGTGTGCGTGGGCGTGGGGTGAGGTTGCTCTGATTGTGCTGTCTGCTCACTGCGGTGTTCTCTGCTATTTTTTTTTTCCCCATTCTGTCAGCACCATGCCTGATCACTTTCCCCCTCATTGACTTCAAATCTATGCACCTGCAGACGGATGGGGAGGGTAAGTATGCTCTTCGAGATCCACCCTCCTGCCTACCTGCCTGCCTCGTGACAAGGGAGGGCTTTTGTATGAACTTGCTGCTTGGAGGGCTCTGCTTACCATTACCATTGAGATTGCATCTGAATCATTCTCCGTTGCAATTCATTCTGCCCGAGGCAGACGTTGAATACGACCCTAATGCAATGTCCCATTTGCGTCACATGGTGAAAACCCTGTAAAGCGACCGCCTGGATCACGTTATGGACCGCTTTACTACTGCGAAAGGAATAAGGGAATAATCTCGGTCCCAATTCTGAGGCTGAAGGCAGTTTCCACATGGAGAGCGGTCATTGTGCAGTCCATACGAAGCTGCCCTTTTAACCCTCTCTCCCTCCCCTCCCTGCAGGAGTGCTGCTCTCCTGTACCAAACCACGTAACCTTTCTTTATCTGCAGCTGTTGCACAAAGCACCGAGTCTCCCCTCTGTGACCCCACGGCTTTCACTCTGCTTCCCTGCACCTGGACTGTTGGGCCTCACTTGTGATTCCATCCCTCAGCTCAGCAGCCTTGTCTGTTCTCCAGTCCGTCCAGGTGTTCTCCGACTGCTTCACCTCTGACCTTTACCCCCTGTCTGCCCCCCGTTCCATCTCTTCGCAGCTCCGTGCAGTACCTCTTTTTAAACTTGCCCATCCGTGTCCCCCGTCTCTGTCGTTTCTCCTCTCGTGTCGGTGTCTCGGTGCACCTCTCTTAAGGTTACCCACAGCTTGTACGGCCACTGTACAATAGATAAAACAGGGTCAAAATTATTTAAAGGTATTTTCAGTGTTTTTTCTGAAATTGTTTAAAGAATTTTCCGGTCCTTGGAAACATTCCTTGATGACAGCGGTTTGATGCAATTTTCCAAACCAAGTGTCGGTTGTTCAACTGATGGCTGTATTTTTTTTTAAATAATTCATGTCGGGCATAGAAAGAGTGACCAAGCTCAGAGCTTTGGGCTGTGCAACGTTGAGAGGAGGACATTATCTTAATAATCCCGAAGAAGCTTCTATTCAAGATTTTGTTGGGTGTGAATTCACTCTGCCCTAGAGACCTGCCAAAGACATTAGAGGCAGAGCTCTAATGAAAAAAAGGGAGCATCCTAGCTAGCGTTCAAAGGACGGCTTTAAAGTAGTGTGAATTCTTTTCTTTGAAATACAGAATTCCTTTTTTAGACTAAAACAGCTCTTGTGCTCTAATTTGCTTTAGATTCTTTAGACGCATCATAATACGCCCTGCTTTTTTTCTTAAAATATTTTCCCCAGTCAGCCTACACAGAATATTGAGTAGGTAGCTGCGTCAGCATGTGTAGGCAGCAAAGGAACAGGTAAAGGGTTTCATTTCCAGTCCAAACGAAAAGAAAAGAGACGCAACATTTTGACTGTGGAGCCTTCTTCAGTTCTGGAAGATCTCAAACCTGAAGAAGGCATCATAGCCAAAATGTTGGGTCTCTTTTCTTTTCCTGTCAACATAGAATAAACCTTTACCTGTTCGTTTGCACGCAGAATATTATTGCTTGTGCTTTAGTCAAAATGTTATTGTGACTCAGAGGGAATTAAAGACCGTATGTTCTTCTCTCCTCTTGTTTCCCAACACACCCACACTTGAGCAAAACTTCCATCTCTGTTTTTTTTATGGTTAAATTGTCTGTTTTGGGTTGGATTACATCTGTTGTCTGTGACTCCGCACCTCACATGTAGCTGCAGCTTTCACGGTGTTGCCAGCAACAAGCTGAAACTGTTCTTGAACTCTGTGAGATGTTTGCGTTGTGGCATAAAGAAGCCAATCTTTGATCCAGCACCCTCTGAATGTGGTCTTCCATAGCACTCGGTCTTCCCACGGAGGCATCCCAAGGATCTTTGTTGGTTTCTTATGGTGTTTTAATTACTTTTAACACAGAGAATATGCAGTTGTGCGTTCTCCTTACTTTGTCACTTTTCCCTTTTATGATCCTGAAAGGGCTGACATCCGTTTTTTTAAGTCTCCCCGTCGGTTACCGAAATGAAAGCCGTGTCACAGCAGAGACGTTTACAACGTAGAGTCCTGCAGCAGCATGACAAACCTAGCTAGTTTCTGATCATTGCAGAAAATCCGAAGGGGTGTCAGTTTTCCACCTGCGGCTCCGACTGGTGGGAGCTGTTCCCAGGCTTGGATTTTTTTCGGCTGGGCTTCCTACGTAACCTGCGAGCGTTTCCGCTTCTCTGGGTTAACGTGGCGCCTCTTCTGTGCCTGCCTGCCGTCTTGCAGACCCGGTGCCAGCGTTCAAGTCGTGGCAGGAAGACCGCGAGTCGGGCGAGGCCCAGCTGTCCCCTCTGGCCGGCCGCATGGTGCCAACCCCATCGGAGGAAGATGCCCACCCCCTGCTCGCCCGCCGTTTCTTGGACTTCGGCCACAGTCAGCGCTTCCTGCATCAGGATCCCGACGCCACCTCCCCAGCTAAAGCCTCGTCCCACGGGAGGTAGGGTGCAGACCCGTTTTCATCCCCAAATTGGAAAACACACGTGCCTCGACAGGACCTGAAGGGGGACTGTTCAGCAGACACCGAATTTGTCACTGTACTCCTTTCAAGCATTGTTTCATTATAATGGCAGTTACATCTTCACGTCGATGACATCTTCCAGACGGTGTTATGAAGTGATAAAAAGGCTAGATAGCCAGAAGTGTAGAATTCAAATCCAGGGATTTAAACTTAAAATGGTACATTGCTCTAGTTTCGACTCATTTAGAGTATCAGGCCTCTCATTTGTTACCTTTCTTGTGTTTACGGTAGTTCCCAGTCCACACTTAGTTCTTTGTAACACATAGAAATGTTTTTTTTTTAAAGCACCCAGGACCGAGGATTAGTTAGCCCTTTTTTGTTCCTTATTAACAAATGCTCAGCCCTGGCTTAGTTGCGAACTCGGCCTCCCCCAGAGCACAAGAGCCTTTATCTTTCATAGCACTGCTAATGCCCCCCTCGCCATCCCCACATCCTCTCAGACCTCGCCGTGCCTCCTTCAGTTCCAAAGAGAGTGGGAAGGGCGACCCCGTGCCCCACCAGCTCACCAAGAAACTCCAGAACCTCAAGAAGAAGATCAAGCAGTTTGAGGAGCAGTATGAGAAAGAGAGGAATTACAAGGTGAGTTGTCGTCCCGTGGGGAGACCGTTTGCGGATCTCCGAGGCTAGGGGAAACACCGCCCCAAGCCTTCTGGAGTGAGAAACCCTGCCTAGCTTTCAGGAGCTCATTCTGTCTGTAATGGGTTCGTGAAAGAAACCAGATGCATTTCAGAATCCCACTGCAGACTGTGTTATTTATGTCAAAATATTTAACTTACCTACGATAAATGACTGTAAATCACTGCAAGAAAAGCTTGCTGTTTTCCTGTATTATCGCCTGATGATAAAACAATGTCTCCTGCAGCCGTCCTACAGAGATAAGGCAGCTAACCCAAAGGTCTTGAAGTGGATGACGGACCTCACGAAAGTACGAAAACAGATCCGAGGTAGGTAACGTGCTTTATGTGACTAATTTTTAAGCTGGAGAATGTTGTGCGCCATGAGAACTGGGAAAAGCAGACGATGCCTTCAGCAGATTGTTCCAGACGAAGCTGCATTGTAGGGTGGGGTGGGGGTCAACAGTCAGAGCAGAGAACCAATTCATTCGGGCTTCCTGGAGCTCAGAGGTGAACGTCTCTGCGAGAAGACCGAATTGTCAGAGCACATGATAAACTTGTGTAGTCTTTCTCCTTGCTGTCAGTTTGACACACAAGACTGTTGCAGGGCCTATTAGATCTGTAAATTGGAGGCACTTACTGTGTGCATCGTATTTTCACTGTCTCTCGCAGTTCATTAAATCTGACAAATATCAAGGGAAATAGAACCATAAGATGTTTGCATCCATCAGCTCACTATTCTCTTTCAGTTAGACTGTCTCCATCATGTGTAATCTGCTTGCTCAGTACTAGGTTCTTGGAGGTCAGTTCTCAGTGGTTAAACTCTGGAGAATGTCCTAGATTTATAAGACTGTATCTGCTGTGCAAATGAAAATCAAAATGTCAGCCGTGGCTCCATTAAAGCTCCCTTAGAGATCATCTAATACCTTTAATTATTGAGTGTGAGGAATTAACTTCAGAAGAGCCGGCTTATGAGTGAGCGAATCTCGTATTCATACCGAAAGCATGGAACAATTCAAACCATGCCAAGGAGGGTATTCTTAAAGGATGCTGTGAGGATGTTAGCATCCTCTGGCAGTGTTTAATTCATCACAGAGCTCCCTTCTCTCCACAACTTTATGCTGTTTCCAGCACAAAACATCAGCAGACTTTTTCTTTTTGATTACATCCCATTTCACACTCCCGCCTTCCCACACGCCCACCAGACAGGAGTCTGTATGCAGAGAAATGCCTCAGTTCAGTGGTGTAGCTGATAGTAGTGAAAGTCATTTCTAAATTACTGTTCGGGTAACTTGTTTGTTTGTCGGGGGTTTTGCCCAAGTCAGTTGCTTGAATGCTGATTCCAGGAGAATCCTCTCTGGTTCTGAAAAGCTTGTAGTTTCATTTCTGCCATTGGAGATTTTCTTAGGTTTCAATGCAAACCTCCGTCCACAGATGTTAGGATTTGCTGCGGTCTCAGTAGAGTAAAGCATAAACTGTGATACAGGGTCTTCCCTATATTAAGCAGCACTTTAGTTAATGTATAGCAGAAGCTGAAACGTCCTTTAACGCTGCAATAGTTTTTCACTCCAGCGAGCTTTGAGCAGAGACTAGCTTCACCCTGCAGAATGGAAATCGGCCTGATAGATGTGTTCATTCTCAGCGAGGCTCCTGGCTGACCCACTCTCCTTCTGTGGAGAGGAGAGGTGCGTTCCTTCTGTGTTTCCAGGTGCCAGACGGGCTGTCCAAATGTATTCAAAATATCCCCATCTCTCCCGCTCCCCACTCTCGATCCCTGCAGACACTAGGCAGAAGGCCTCCGAGGGGGACCTGGCGCCCCAGCCCCGGCCGAGGAGCAACACTCTGCCCAAGAGCTTTGGCTCCACCCTGGATCAGGGTGCGTCCGAGGGGAGCTCCGAAGGGGAGGCCCAGGAGTGCCGGCCCACGCGAGAGGAGACGCTGGAGCTCATCCAGCGCCGGCTGAAGGGCAAGCGGGAAGAGGACAGCCGGCCGGAGGACGTCAGGGTGAGGATCCGCTCCTCCGTGGGGAAGGAGGAGGGTTTCCCCGCTTCAGAGCAGCGGGAACTGTTGACCGACGTCCCGGACTCCATACCGCCACCGGCGTGCTGAAGTCTTTCTTCAGTCAGTCCAGGTCTCCTTGCTAACTTGCTCACTTCCCTGTGAGGCACAGGGGAATAACAAGAAAACAAGATGTCAGTGGTGCTACCAAAGCACGATCATAGTAATCTTTCAGCGATTAAAGGTTACAGATGACCTGTCCTAACAGTTCGTTTGCACAAGTCTAAATGGCATGAACCAGGACAAGGGGGCTTCAGAAGACGGCGATTATTCGAGAGGCAACAGTGGCTGCATGCAGGAACAGCTTAAAGGCAGGATTGCTTAATGAGTGGAGCCAATGAACCTGCAGCCCTGAACTCATTCGCCTAATGTTTCGTGCCCATATGCCTAACCTGGCTTTCCTGGTTTTCACATTGACACAGAAAATGACCAAGGAGCAGCTGTCCGGTGAGAAGACCGTGCTGCAGAAGAACCTGCTGTTCTACGAGAGTATCCATGGACGCCCGGTAAAGCCTGCTATGTTTATACTCGCATATTTCTTTATATATACAGTACCGTGACGGTGGCGTTTTTATTCCTGCCGTATCCTTACTTGTGTCAAAATGCAGGGCCTGCTCCGACCGGACTAACTTTACAAAGATCTGTTTGAATCTTAGCTTTTTTTGTATATAGGCGTCTTAAATCTTGCTGAATTAGAAACAGCGAAGCATGTGATGGAATAAAGCACTGGAAATACCCCTTCGCAAGAGCAAAACCACTAACTGTCATATGAGGGGTGCTTCTTCTGCTTGCCTTATAAATAAATCTGCTGGCGGTGTTCCTTTAATTAGGATTACCATTAAAAAATACATGTATTTATACCCCAAGCAGCAAAAAATAAAATCAATTTTTTACTTGGCCAGTGTTGTAAAACCATTGCAGCCATATCACCCTGCAACTCACAACTGGCAACCCACTAAAGTTAAGCAGGTGTGAGCCTGGTCAGTACCTGGATGGGAGACCTCCTGGGAAGAACTAAGGTTGCTGTGGTCATTTTCTCGAAAAGTGTAGGGGTGTAACCCCGGTGTCCTGGCCAAATTTCCTATTGGCCCTTACCAATCATGGCCTCCTAATAATCCCCATCTATGAATTGGCTTCATTACTCTGTTCTCCTCCCCACTGATAGCTGATGTGTGGTGAGCGTTCTGGCGCACTATGGCTGCCGTCGCATCATCCAGGTGGATGCTGCACATTGGTGGTGGTGGAGGGGAGTCCCCATTACCTGTAAAGCGCTTTGAGTGGAGTGTCCAGAAAAGCGCTGTATAAGTGTAAGCAATCATTATTATTATTATCTGTCACTAGGCAGTAGATTTTTCTAAGCAAAGTATTACTGCATGAGTCTTTGTAATGTACTAGACCCTCATCTGTACTAAACTGACACTGTGTATTTTAATTGTGCTCGTTAGATACATTGAGTTACCTTCATTATAATGTTGATTGTTAACTGGTCTTTTTATACAGCGCCGCTCTTGCATCTCAAGGCACTTGACAATAAAGGCAAAATCATTAGACATGCACATAAGTGATTTAATATACCATTAAACAGGACTAGAGGATAGGTCTTGCAGGTCTTAAAACTGCTGTACACTAAGATGGACTTGGAAATCATGAAGTGAACAGATTAAAAAGTAGCACCATCACTTATCAAACTAAGGCCAACACATTTGTGGAGTTGATGCAGTGAAGCCAATCAGCACAACAGCATATCGTCATAACAATCAGAGAGTCCTGCCTCCGTTTTGTCCCTCTGTGGTATGGATAACCTCGACTGACCACTTTGACTTTCTTGGCAGGTGACCCGCGAAGAGAGACTGGTCGTCAAACCTCTTTATGACCGATACAGGCTCGTGAAGCAGATGTTGACCCGCGCCAGCATCACGCCCATCATCGTACGTCTCCTCTCTCTCCTTGCTTCCCCGGCTGTCTGTGGTGCAGGGCGCGAGGGGCCAGGTTATTTAAACCAGCCGTTATGGGGTGGGGTGGGGGTGTACTGTTAATCACGATATAACATATACCTGCCTGCTGCCTCAGTCCACCGTTTTTAAATGCCAGCGCTGCTTGCACCTGAAATGGACCCGACAGGCAGTTTCGGTGACTGTGGGGTGATGATAAATCGTTAACCATGGGTCTCGGCTCCTGTAAAAAAAGCGCTAGAATGCGGCCTGCTTCTCTCGCTGCTCTCTTTGCTAATGGCTGCCCTATGCTTTTAGGCCTCGCCATCCAGCAAGAGGAGGAGCCAGATGCTGCAGCCCATCATTGAGGGAGAAACGGCACACTTCTGTGATGAAATCAAGGTGGGCGATTGCGCCCCTCTGCAGAGGAGAAATTAGTTTGATTATCCTTCTCACACACCTAGTCTCCCTCAGTCGGACACAAAACAGCTGATGAGCTGAACATTTGGCTTTTTTTTTTTAATCAGGAAAAACTTTCAGGACTTAATTTTTTCCATTAATGGAGCAAATCCAAAGAATTGTGGCTTCATTTTTTTTTCTGATCAGTTTATTTTGTATCCGCTAATGCTTTTTCCCTAAAAGCAAAAAAAAAATAATGAATTGGCTTTTAGAGGAGTATTAATTTGCACATGGTAATTTCAGTGTGTTCGTGTTTTCGGTCAAGAGGCGAGACAAACCCACGCTGGCATGATTAACGATTCGATCTCAAACACCCCTGCAGTCACCTCTGCCTGTTGGAATACAACAGCTGCACGGAGAAGCATGGGGTAAATGTTGCTTCTTTGCCGGTAGGAAGAAGACGAGAACGAAGAGGAAGAGGGGGTGTTCATGGAGACTTCAGAGGTCACCATTGTCCTGGACCCAGCTGCCCAGCCGTGCTCTCCGCAGGCCCAGCTCGACGGGGAGGTCAACCCCAAGCTGGAGGAGAGTGGGGGCAAACTGGCCCTGGACCTGCGGCTGTCCAGCTCCAACGCGTCATCCATGTGAGCACATCGCGCGCTGCGCTGTCCTTCCATCCCGCACATCGGAGACACCTGTAAATGAGAGAGCAAGCTGTGGTCAGCTGACAGCCCAGCTCCTCGGTCCAAATCAAGAGAGGACCTGGACTGACGTGTGAAACTAGTGCAGGCTGAAACGGAAGAGTATCTCAACCAGGTTTTACATTGAGTCTTGTATAAATAAGTGAAAAGTGTCCCTTGAAGGGATTTTTTTTCTTCCTCTGTAAAAAAAAATCTGTAGATTTTATTTTTTAACTCCACCTTTTAAAGAAGGGACGGATCTGAGTGTTTGCCGATTGGTTTTCTTTGCAGACGGGCACTGGGCGCAATTCTAGGCTGCTCCATTTCAAAAACATGCGAACGTGTTACAGCAGTACTACCTCACAACACTACTGCTCTGCACATTAACACACCGTATTTAATGTCTGTTTAAGGTACCAGACAGCATATTTTCCATATGATTAAGGAGTATCTCTCATGCTGGGTGATTTAAGACAAGTGTCCCCTGTAGACCAGCCCTGTTGTGAGACGAGGGAATGCCCAGATGGCCTTTGCTGGACAAGGAGGCAGGAGAGGCCTTTCTTTGTGTTCTTCACGTTGCGTCTGTGTCCCCCAGGCCTGAACTGTTGGAGCAGCTGTGGAAAGCCAGGGCGGACAAGAAGAAGCTGAGGAAGAGCATCCGCGAGTTCGAGGACGAGTTCTACCAGCAGAACGGCAGGTCAGTGGGCTGTCGGCGCAGCTCCTCACAATAACACCACCAGTCTCCTCTGCGAATCCTTCTACCAACTCCTCTGATCTGTTCCCCTCCTCTCTCCTCACCTTATATCTCCTGTCAGTTGAATTGATCCACTTCTTTCGCTTGTGTGGGCGTAATGCAGAGTTTTTCATGCTGTGTTCGCGAAACCTGGGAGCTCCCCTTTGCCTTTTTCCGTAGGGCAACGCTACGGCTCATTTGCCAAAACATTAGGAAGTCCCCCCCCAGCCCAGCGAGCAGCACGGACAGGGCACAGCGCGTTTACCACAGGGTTTTGAAATCCATCCCATTCTACCAGCTGAGGCTGTAATGAGGGCAGTGGTCTACGAAACCCGCTAGTTAAGATAAGAGAGATAAGATCACTTTATTAGCCATATAGGAATTCATCTTTTCCCATACTCCAGCTTGCTCTCCATGAGACACAGACACACAGAGAGAGAAGCTTGGGGTCAGAGCGCAGGGTCAGCAATTGTACAGCGCCCCTGGAGCAGTTGGGGTTAAGGGCCTTTCTCAGGGGCCCAACGGAATAGGATTCCTCTGCCGGCTGCGGGATTTGAACCAGCAACCTTCCAGCCACAGGAGCAGATCCTTAGCTACAGAACCACCACTCTGCCCCCTTTTTTTGTGGATAATTTTATTTAGTCTAGTTAATTTGATAGTTTTCAGTAGGACTAAGATCTGGCAAGGGAGTGGCTCTGTTTCGCTCTCCAGGCCACCCACACACTGCCTATCACTGTCAGTCTGTCTGGGGTCATAGCATTCCTGCAGTTCAGATTTCTTCTAGTTGCTCGTGCTGTCTGGCTCGCAGCTCTTCCAGCAGCGGCGACTGGGTTAACGTTCACATTGAGTGATGTTAAACCTGAGCGGTTTTGGATTCCTCCTTCCTGAAGCTTCTTTAGAATTTGTGGGTGCGCATCACATGTAAAGAGTTTATGATGACTCCTTCATTTCACGGTGAATTGCACTGTGCTGCCATTATGCATGTGCATGAAAATCACTTTTTAATGTCCTGGAGCACCCCCTTGAGGCCTTTCATGTTACTGCAGATAAACTGGAAATTGAGCAGGATTTCTTGCAGTGCCATATAAAGGCTGTATAGGTGTTATTTAATATGTACAGTATTAATGAGTAAATAGTCATCAGCTGACTCAAACATCTCTTTGCTGCCTTTCAGTTTTTCCTCGTTTGTCTCTTGTCCATCAGCCGCAGTGCTTGATTCTTAATGGACGTTGAGTCCCTTGACGCTGAAAGCTGACACTTTCCTGTTGTGCTTCGTGTCTCCCGCAGGAACGTGCAGAAGGAGGACCGCGCTCCTATGATGGATGAGTACAAAGAATACAAGCGGATCAAAGCCAAGCTCCGGCTGCTGGAGGTTTTAATCAGCAAGCAGGACTCTTCCAAGTCCATCTAAGGCCCTAACTGCTGACCAGCGGTTCAGGGTTTCAGGTCAATGTTTTAGTGTGACTGACTGACCACCGGCACCCTGCACCTTTAGACATAGAAGAATGGGGCCCCCTGCTGGCACCTTGTTGGACTGCAGCACCCTGGGGGAGCACCACCGCACTGCAGGAATGCAGAGAAGGGCACGTAGGAACACCTCCGCTTTCATTTCCCGCTTCAGAACATTATTTAAGCACTATTGCCTGTTGTTGAGGAAGCGCTGCATCTTCTCCACCAATAAAAGCTGTAGTTTCTTCCTCATTTGTTTTTTTTTGGCAAAAGCAGGAAGAAAATTTAGTCTTCAGAGCTACCGATGTCTTTAGTTTACAGCTTCAAGTTTCTTACGCTGGGATATCCTTCAGAAAAAAAAACTTCAACGGAAATTAAACAGACCTGCATGTCGGATGGTCATAATATTGTAGCCTGTCATCTGTTTATCTATTTGGACTGAATGAAGCAAACTTTTTGAAACTCAAGATAACAGCCCATGCCATGGATGGCAAATGGACAGATACGGAACCATTTTAAGAGCTTTACCTTCACTTATCAAGTACTGGCATTTTTTAATTGTGTGAGTATATTTATGAATCTGTATCTACTATCTACATATGTAAAGGTCAATGTCATTCATCTGCAAGAGTGACCATAAAAACAGGATCAAGGCGGCGGTGTGGGATACGACCATATACATATACTTGTCACTTGTCATATCGGCCTCGTCCTACTTTGCCGACCCAAGAGAGCCGACGGCAGTTTTATGCGGACTTTTAGTCGTCTCTTTTTTAAAAAAAAAAAGACGTTTAAATCTCTGTGTACCTCAGAGAGGTGAACGGAATTTACTCCTGAAACGCAGCAAGGAAGACAGCTGGCTCGTCGGTTGAGGGGGGCCGATAATTCAATTCCATTGGCCCCCCCCCCCTCCCCACGTGGTGTCTGTCTGCATGTGTTGTGGACACCGCAGGGGCTCAGAGTGACCGCCAGCTGTTTGCACGGACACACGAGAGTGTGGCGGGCAGTCCCTGGAGCCTCGTGCTGGCCTGCGCCTTCATTGCCTCCTGGGCACAAAGTTTGTACTTGCAGAACCAGTGAGAGACTGTTTTCCTCTAAGGGACATTTCAAAAGGTTTCAAAACAATCAACATGTGTTGACCAGATACTGTTTCTTGTTGCTCTTAACTCTCTCCAGTAGTGACTGTATTTTATATACAGGCTTGAAAGACATGTTACAATTGTGTATTTTCTTTTTCATCTCGCTCTAACGCAAGCAGAAGAAAAGGGAAGTGGGTGTCTGCTTCATTGTGCAGAGGTTTCGGAATGAAGCCTGGCGAAATGCACATGCTACTGGAGGTTGCTGAAGTAGTACATCCCTGTAGTTTTCACTTGCCTGTCAGATGCATGCTACAGACAGTCACGGCTGTGAGCATGCGTCACTGCAGTTAAACGGTATAGCCTTAAAGGAAAAATCATGTTCCCCGGGCACAAGTTCCAGTCTGTCAGAATCTTGTTTGACAAGACGGGCACTGCATATATCTTAGCTTATATGTTTAGCTCACAAGGACGTTTTCAAACGGTGGTTTCAGTTATCGGAGCATCTGTACAAATATGTTGGATAGAAACTGCGCCACTTACTGTGCAGGAGTGGGCATGCTGCAGTCGGGCTCAGCTGGCTCTCGCAGCAGGGGATTCCAGTGCCTGTTACTGGGGAGTAACGCGTCATTCTGACACTGTCGTGTTTATCATCTGTGTCATTGCAGATGCAGAAGCGCATTTTAACATTCTGCATGCAGAAGGGCATGAATATCTTGGAGCACAGCCAACGTGAAACAGACTGTAGACCTACTATATATTTTGATATATTTTGGGGCTTTTTTGTTTTGGACAGTGTATGGTTTACCTTGCCTAAGGTTTCCTTCTCTGGGACTGTAACAGTGCAAAGAGGTCCTGCTGGTCAGACATCAGTAGTGAGGTATTATTGTATAACTCACTCAAAACCCAGCTGTTCTAAATCATCCAGCTGTGAGGAGTCAAGACAGAGTTCACTCAAGGACTCCAGAACACTTACATTTAATCTTTGCCTCTCTTTCCAGAAAGTTGGAAAAAGTCAGCTATGGGGCTCTCAAAGTTGTCACAGTAAAAGCGTTTTGTCTCCTGGCTCTCATTTTGTATGGGATCAGCTAGTTCTCTGTCTCAGCCCTTCAAATAACCAACAGTTACAACCTGCTTTGCACACATCGTTGTATCTTGATCTTTCTGCATCAGTGCATTGTGGGAACAAGCATGGTTTTGTTTGCAGGATTTTGCGAAGCTGAATTCCGACCGAAAATGCAAATACTTTCGCAAACGGGAGCAGAAATTGGGATTTCAGACTGTGCCACCTCTGGGCTTCCACCAGGGAGTCAAGGCTGACCATACAGAGAAGAAGCAGGGAAGGTCTCCATGCAGCAGTTAGCAAATATTTATTAAAGGGTTGCTTCTGTTGTCGTCGGAAGTAGTTCAACATGGCTGATTTCTTCTCTGGTGCTTTTTTACCCCCTTTTCTTATTTAATTTCTTGTGTAACTGACCTTTCACTTGCATTGTATCTGCATGCAACCTCTCGTTATGGCTGCTGATAATTGTCGGTTTCCTTTTTTTATACGTGTATACACACTGCATGCATCTTGTTGTGCTTTTCAAAAACAAAAAAAAAATAGAAAAAAACGCGTTCGGAAGAGAGCGAAAAAAGGCCTTTTCTCTGTTTCTTGTAGGGCTCAAACTTGCCTCACGCATTTGAGCAGTCCTCGTCCTAGAGGGCTGGTGTGTGTGTGTGTGGGGGGGGGGGGGTTAGGTCTCTGTAAAGCAGCAACACCTGAAGAGTTGGAAGAAGTTGTTCAGGTGTCACAATTAAGTTATGGATGGGCTGATTGAGCTCGTTAAGAGCTGAGTTGTAATGAGGGCCTGCAGACACACCAGCCCTCAAGAATCCAGATCTCCCTTCCCGTAAGGCAACTCCTGTCTCTCTATTCGCGAAGGACTCACTCTTCTCCAGGGTTTGTTGCTGACCTACGTAGGGGGAAATCATTCAATATGTTTTATGGTTTGATACTAGCTCTATCGAGCTCTTTAAAAGGGCATGAAGAGATGGGACAGTTTCTAAGGGTGCCTTTTATAGGTGTGAAATTAAAAAGAGACTTTTGCCAAAGTGTGCCCTAAAGGTTGCCGATCTCTGGAGACCGAGCTCAATTAACAATTTAATTGTTAATCAATTAAAAAATTGAATTTTTTAAACAAACTTATCAGGGACAGGTGAATGCAGTGAAAGTAATAGAGTGAGAGAGAGAGAAGTAGGTAGGCTTCTTCACAAGAGTCTGGGTCTCCTCTCCCTAGCTGTGCTGGAAGAGAGTTTGTGATTGATTCATAGTAACTGTGAACACATATGAAATCAGGCGGCATGCTTTGCGAACAGGGACTAGGGAGTAGAAATTCGGTTATAGGCAGCGATGAGTTAGAGAAGGTCTTGTAATTCTGAAGTAGAGATCACCAGACGGATGTATCCTTCCCATTAAAGTGGTGCTGAGAGCTCTGCATACTGTGTACATTTTTGTACATGACTTAGGATCGTAGCATTTGCTGCATCCTGCTTCATAACAAACCCGAAGGCCTCATTCTCTTCTTGTGCTTCTGATATAAAAATCCTGGTGTCCCTCTGTGGAAAGAGGGAGGTGGGGGGGGGGGGGGGACTGTGATGGAGTTTTGCACAGCATTCTGAGAATGCAGCCCTTGTTCTGTTTTGTTTTTTTAAAAGCACTACTAAAATCTGAAAGATGAATGTGATCGCTGTTAAGCTATTTTTACACGACCTTCACACCTCGTGTTACACTTGTGATCTGTATGATTCAAGGTCTGTGTTCTTTTTATGACTATTATATAATTTTGTATTTTTATTTTGTACACTCCCGCTCTTGACTGATCTTAGTGTAATAGCTCTTTATTGGCTTAAACGTCTGCTTTGTTTCGTAGAACCTGGTCTCTCTAGCGAACATGCATGGCAGAACTTGTATTGTTTTTCTTTTTGTGCCATGAATGATGAAGCAATAAACTAGACTGTATTCGTGGAAGGAGGGCATCTCCCCCTCAATATGTGCTTTTCCTTAATAAATTCATTTTCACACTGTTTTGGAGCATTTCAAACACTCAGTGGTGTCACAGAAACAGACTCGCAGGCTGTAGGGACAGGCAACGCCAAAAATACAGGATTCCCCGACTACCGTGTATTGGTTAGAAATACATCAAAATTAAGTTAGGAGCTCTTGGCTTAATGACACAAACATTTTGGTGAATGCAAGGAGTCTTTCAGTGTCAAACTGCCCAACATTCTTCAAGAGGGGATTCAAACCCTGGTCACGGAGAGCCCCAGCGAGTCTTGCATGTTCGGCTGTTTTGAAAGATTGCCAATAATGGTAAGGACGTTTGCTTATCAAGCAAGTGACGTGTGTGGTAAAGAGCTCTTGTCCTCAACAGGTAGAGTATTGCATTTCAGTCCTACTTCTGGATTCTTTTAATAAAAGCTGGATGACATCCTTGGATCAGTTAGCTTAACACCAGAGAAGCAAGCTGGGCTGAATGGCCTCCTATTGTTTCTAACCTTTCTGACACTGTTCTTGAATGAGCTCCACATTACTTAACAGATCACCTGTTCCAGTGACCACGATGCAATAGTTCCAGACCTTTAGTAATTTTTAGGAATTGGTTTATGGGTGGCCTACTGAAATTGGACTGGAGCTCTCCAGGGAGCAGGGTGGGAGATCCCTTTCCTAGATTCTTCACACATCCCAGGGATCAATATGAAAGGGGTTTTCGTTTTTTATAAAATATTGTATTTCTTGAATCTGATTTGCTGAAGACCGTTGACAACTTTCCTTCCCTTCTGTTTTCGTGGTGGATATGTGCATCCAGTCAAGGAGGGGGTAAGGAGCAGATCTCTGGGACTTTAACACCGTGTCTAAATGCTCACCCAGACTACAAAAAAATGTAAAAGTTTACAAATACAGACTTCAGGACTGAGGAGTAATATTACTATTTACCGAGTACCAGTAAAGTAGCAGTATCACAGTAGCACGTACAGTATATTAAAAATTCCATTGTAAATGACCTGCATAATATTGTGGTCTTAAAACAGGAAGTGGCATCTATAAAGTTTTCCTTCTTGATGACCCTCAAGTGTACTTTTTTCCCCATTATATTACTGATTACTGATCGTTCGCAGCTCGATCGATCACTTTAAAATACATTCAACTCCGGATTAAGGCACAGTGAGACCAGCAACGTAGTGACGTAGCTTCAGCTGCGCACAGCCACATCGCAGAAGGACGAAATTCACTGTGCAAGAGACGAAGGACACCGATCGACAGAGAGCACGCTTGGGTTGCTCCCACAGCCAGTGAGGACACATCACCTCGAGCGCTCCGACCCAGGGCTGAACTTAACGCTGAGCTGAGTTCATGGCGATGCATCTTCGTCACCCAGCCCGCCCTGGTCTAACGTCTGAGGCAAGTTAGCTGGTTTAACTGAGACCTCAGCTGTTCTTTGTATAATAAAAAAAATTAAAATTGAATTCATACAATGTTATCATTAATGTTTTAATTAACGTTTTTCACCATAAATGAAATACGGTTCAGGTTCAGCACAGCCGACAAGAGTCGTTCAGCCGCCACCTTGTGGCCGATCTGAGAACTGCAGCCCACTCATACAAACTGTGGCTTGACCCGTCAATGTAACTGCTTTGTCTTACAGCCCCATCCATCCTTTTTCTAATTGCTCCATCCAATTCAGGGTTACAGTGGAGCCAAAGCCTATCTCCGCAGGCAACAGGCACCAAGGCTGGGTACACCCCTGATGGGATAGCAGAGCACATACAGATGCACACACACACAGCAGGGACAGTTTTCCCAGAAGCCAATTAACCTACCAGTACTTCTTTTGTGAAAACTTACACAAACATAAGCACAACGTACAAACTCCACACAGACAGCACTCCAGGTCCAGAATTGAACCCAGGTCCTCACAGCCCTATGAGGCAGCACACTAACCAATGCACCACCATGCCACTCTGTATTGAAGCCATTGCAGCATAAAATGAATTCTTCACAATCACTGCGATTACTAGCACTAAAACACTGTGCTAGTTTTTCTGGGTTTTTTTTTTAGGGTGAAAGACCTGATGATATTTGGAGATCAACAAATAAACTGGGCAACATGAGACAAAAGCTATCCTTTTGTTTGCAACATTTCTAATTCTCTTAAACCGTGTAACAGTGTTCGAGTATCACTACGTGGCAAACAGTTGAGAGGGGCCTTTGCATTCCTAGGCGGAGAATCCGGCTGTGAAAATGTTGCAGGTTTGAGTGTCAGAAGGTTGTGCAGATCTGAGTTTTCTTGCTGTTTCTTGCTGATGTTTTTTTTTTTCAGAACAGAGAAAGTTCTGAAATCAGTTCAAATTCAAATTCATGGAGCTATGATGACAATTATTATTGAGAGACAGGCTCACTGTTCCTCAGGCTGGGACAGGAGATCACACACTGTATTATTATTATTATCATCATCATCATTATTATTGAGAGACAGGCTCACTCTACCTTAGGTGAGCGCCCCCTACTGGCCCCTCTAATACCTCTTCCAGCAACAACCTTAGCTTTCCCAGGAGTCTCCCACCCAGGTACTGACCACACACCTGCTGAGCTTCAGTGGGCTTCAGGGGTACCAGCTGTGAGTTATTGGCAGCTGCATCAGCAGGCATAGGCTGCAAGGAACAAGTAAAGGTTTATTCCAGCTGAAAAGAGAAGAAAGGAAACAACATTTCGGCTGTGGAGCCTTCTTCAGGTGGGAAAACGCTGTGTTTCCTTTCTGCTCTTGTTATCAGTGCGACAGCCCTGAAGTCACTTCCTTTCCCAGGTGATAAGCTGTCCCGTTTCGGCAACAGCCACCGAGAGACTGGGGCGCACAACCCAGCAACCCTGGCTTTCGACAAAGGACCAAAAGAAATGACAAACGGGTCAATACGCTCCCTCTGGACACACAAACACACACATTTAATACAGCACGTCAGGTCTGCGATGACACTGATGGGTCAAAATCGTCTAATTTTGAAAAGCACAACCAACACCAAAATTGACTTTTTTTTCCGAAACGGTGGAGGATGAGGGGGGTGGTACACTCTGATTGACTTTATCTTATCTTTTGAAACCAGATTGCTAAACCTCCTCTCCCACCCAGAAACAAAAACAGGAACACCAGGCTGCTGCTGCTGCTGCTCATCGCCATTCCTAGAAGGATGAGGCTCTCCGGGAATCTCGCGGTTGCAGGAAGTTGGCGTCTTGTCTCACTTCCTGTGGCATCCCTGCCTTTCCGCCCCCCTCCGGGAGGGGACACCTGCCCCGGGATGCTTTAGTTCCTCTTTCGGCGACGGGAGCGCCGCACCGGCTCTGGTTGGCTCAGTCTCAGCGTGTATAAACACACGCAGCTGCCTGGGGTGTTTATATCGACTTTGTACGCTGACATAAACGCACAGGACCGGGTTTTTTATTTATTTTTTTGTACACGGTCTTTTTTTATTTATTTTTTTTACCCCGTCCCTTTTCCCGGCGGTGGGCATGAGGCGGACTTGGGGGTCTCCGGCGCGCAGGAAGGGGGTGCTGCACTGAACCGGGCTCCCTCGCCAGCTCTCGGCCATGCCGACCCCCCCGGCCCCCGGATTGCGAAACCGTGCGAGATCCTGAGGGGCGGACGAGCCGCGGCCCGTGTGCGGAGCCGAGTGCGCTGCGTTTCCAGGCGAGGGGCCCGAGCAGAGACCCGCCAGCCCCGGGTGGGGAAGGTGAGCTCTTCCTTTGTTTCGCTATCCCTGGCCCGGCGTGGAATGACCCCCCTCCCTCCCGTGACGGGACACAAACACGCACACAGGCAAGAAACGCTTGTGTTGGGTTCGGGTCACCCGGTTGTCGATTTTGGGCTGCAAACCAGCGAGCCGGTGTTGTGGCCGGCGTGCAGATGCTCCATCTGAGTGAGGAGCAAGCTCACGGGTTTTCATCTCGCGTGTGTACGTGCGGTCCCGCACCCAGAGAGTGGCTCCCCACGGCCGGTCCTGGGGTCTGGGGTCCTGGGGGGAGACCAGGAGTCGCCACACGTGCTGACAGCTGGGGGCCACTGTTTCAGGACCCGTAAATGCCTCGCACGCAGGGCTGCTCACGAAATGGTGTTTACATGCATTTGATTCACAGCGCAGGCCGGATGTGGGGTTTAGAATTACTTCGTTGGGGTTTTGTGTATACACACACACACATAACATGTATAAATAGTAACTCTCTTCTCTTCACTTCACTTCTGTGAATGATTTGCCCGGTTCACTTGTGCGGTCGTAGGTCTTGCCGCAAAAAAACAAAAACATCAAAATGCCAGCAGTGTCCGGTGAAGTCGGCAGTCGGACGTGCGTGTACGTGTGTCTCTTCCTTGAACACCAAGTCGGGTAGCTGCACGTCCGCCGCACTGAGAGAAGCAGAGGTCACGTTTTCCGGTACTCTGAATTACCTGAAATCAGCTGATTTCTGAGGCGGTGGAGAGAGAGAGAGGATGAAGTCAGTTGCTCCGTGTTTCTCGGATTAGGCGGAGAATCGTTGCCCGGTCCTTCAAGATAACTCAGGTTTGTGCCGCTTTGTGATCAACACTGGTTTAATTTTATAGTTTAGGCTAATCCTATCACATCCTTAACAGACAACTGCACTGCCTCAGACTCAATGCACGCTGCGTTTTTTTTTCCACTACTACATATGTATTGTTCTGGTTGTATTGTTTACTATGTTGTGATGTACCGTCTACATTGTGTGTTTCACAACAAGGTTGCCCTTAAGGCGCTTAACAAAGCAAGTGACCATACATGTTGTGAATACAGAACAGAAAAGACCAGAAGACAACAAAGGAAAGGGACAAAAAACTCCTTAGTAAGGAGAAAAAAAACTTCTAGGGGTCCAAGGTCAACTGGCTGCCCTACCCCTCTGGGCATGCTAACATTATACAATTCAAAAAAGGAATCAATGAATAAGTGTATTGATCCATCCATCATGTCTTCTGTATGTCAGTACTCCATGCATCTTCATTTCAACAATATTGATAGATAAAGGTGATCTAATTTAACAAGAAAAAATGAAAATTATTCTTTGCAATCATTTATTCAACAAAGTCAGAAATGCAATTCTCTGCTGTGGAAAAAAAAAGTACACCCCCTAGCTTCAGTAGCTGGTGTTGCCCCCTTTGGCTGAAATCACTTCTTGTAAGCGTTTCTTGTAATTGTCTGTCAGTCTCCTACATCGACTTGGAGAAAGTTTTGCCCACTCCTCCTTACAGAGCTCCTTCAACTGTGTGATCTTTGAGGGCTTTCTGGCATGTGCTGCCCACTTCATGCCCCCCCAAGCATCTCTATGGGGTTAAGATCTGGGCTTTGACTTGGCCATTCCATTACCCTCCATTTCTCCTTTCTGAGCCATTCTTTTGTGGATTTACTTGAGTGTTTTGGGTCATTGTCTTGTTGCAAGGTCCACTCACGGTTCAGCTTCAGCTTTTTGACAGATGGCCTCACATTCTCCTCAAGTACCCTCTGGAAACATGTGGAATTCAGGGTTGACTCTATGATGGCAGAAAAGCAGCCCCAAACGATAATGCTTCCACCACCATGCTTTCCAGTTGGTATGAGGTTCTTTTGGTCAAAGGCAGTTTTTTTTTGTTTTCGCCTAACATGGCATCTGGCATTGTGGACAAATAGCTGTACCTTTGTCCCATCCGTCCAGAGCACATTGTTCCAATAGTCCTGATCTTCACCTAGGTGTTGTCTGGAAAACTTTTTTGAGAGCAGAGGCTTCTCCCTTCCTGACCTCACATGTAGGGCAAAGTTGTGCAGTCTCTATCGGATGGTTGACTAATGCACTTTTACATTGACTAAGGCACCACTTGCCTGTAAATCCCTTGATGCTATCCTGGGGTTCTTGGAGACTTCCTGCTGCATCTTTCGGTCCGCTCGTGGCTGGATTAGGTGGGACGACCTGGCCTGGAGAGATTGCCAATGGTTTGAACTTTTCTCCATTTGTAGATGATCTTTCGGACAGTCGAGTGATTGACTATAAAGCGCTTGGAAATGGCTTTAAATCCCTTCCCAGACTCATAGGCATCAACAGTCTCTCTCCTGAGGGCCTCGGAGAGCTCTTCTGATCTTGGCATGATGTAGCCACACACCTCAATTGCTAAGACCAAACCAGACCACACGTTTCTGATGTTTGTATCGGGCAGTGCCCTCCGAGTTACTCTCTGCTGATGCTCTAATCATTTGCACCTGTTTTGGTGCACCTGATTCAAATTTTAGGCATCTGATGCAATGATAAAGGTAGGTGTGTACTATCTTTTTCTGCACAAGGAAATTGTATTTCTGTTGATTTAAATAGTACGAATGAGTGCAAAATATGATTTTTTTATTTTATGTTTTAAAATCAGATCACCTTTATCGATCAGTTTCGTTGAAATGGCGATCAAATATCCTTTTGTCCAAAAATGTAAAAAAAAAAAAAGGCAAACCTTTTCATGGGCTGTACTTACTTTTTCACACCACTGTATACAAGAGCATGTATTCATTTCTCTGTGTCTGGAGTGGAGAGAAACTGCCTCAGTTTTCCAGAAGTTCTGATGGTGATGAGGGATCCTCCGGGGAGTCTGTGAAATGCCCGTGTTTCACACTGCTCTGTGCCTCTCCCCCCTCTTCTGTACACACCCCAGTCTTGCTCTGTCAGGTCGGTTGCGCTGTAGTGAAACCCGTTTCCCCTTTCAGTTTCTCTCTGTGTGGTTTCACGTTTAGTCTGCTGAGAGAGTCGTTCAGTAAATTGGCAACGTATGAACTGGCCAGAAACAGGCTGTGGAGAGGAGGGGAGTTTTATCTTCTGTTCGACCAGTCTCCCCCAGATATCTGGGGGAATGCCTTCTCCTTCTGAATCCCTCCTTAAACACCATAAATCACTCAAATTGAAATATATGGGAACTTAACCGTTTGCTGCAATTAGGTTATTCTCTTGTATAAAATCATATTATAGGCAGAGTAAAAGGATAACATAATGGCACCTTTTAGGACATGAACGTTTAAATCGTATTACTTGAAATTTTCAATTATTTTTCTACAAGCGCCACCATTACTGTTACTGCTGCTGTCATGAGTTAAACATGTTCAGTTCGAAACTGGGAGTACTCAGAATTGTGACCAGAAGGCTTTTGTCTTAAGCTAATACATCTTCCCTGTTTGGCTGAGATGTTTCACAGCATGACAAGTGTTGAGCTGGCTTGCTGACGAACAGACTTCGACTGAATTCCAGCTCATTTCTGTGTCCCAGTACGTTGTCTGGCTCCGGACACGACTGTCAAGAGTTTCAGCAATTTCTGTCTGTAGAGCTGAGCAGCTCAGCTAAATAGCAACATTATGTCGAGATACACCCTTTATAAAAACTGTGAGCCTTCAAATAGTTCCCTTTTTAAAAGCTTGTTTTACTGGTTTACATTACTGTTGCATGTCAGTGATTTTATGCATCTTGTTCAGGCTGCGATGCGCCTGCTACCTCATTCTAGGTCCTTTTGCACAGGACATGTGCCCCAGGCCCCAAATCACATTCTTCTAGTCAGGGATATGCATCTGACGTATCAAAGTTAGATTACAGGAACATAAAAGTTATTTTAAAGAAGAAGAGGTCTGGTGACACAGTCGGTTGCTGAAACGGTTCATTCATCTCGGCTTCTCCTCCAGCAGCAGCAGCGGTCGATTAGAAGACCCCCGTTTGGAGGCCCAGCTGTGCAGACCCCCGCCGCTCTTTCTGCGAGGTAGCCTCGGCTGTTCCCAGGCTGGGCTTTGAAGCGGGACCCGTGTTCCTGTCCGACGGATTCACCGGGACGCTGCGGATCTTACCCTGGTGGTTTTTTTTCGACTCCAGTGGTGTAGAGAGCAGTGAGCTGCCCTCTTCCCCGAAAGAGAATCCTCCCTCCCGCCCCGGACAATCCCTCAGTCGCCCGCCCAGGGCTCCCGTCGCCCGGAGATGAGTGGCCAGCGGGTGGACGCCAAGGTGGTCATGCTGGGGAAGGAGTGCGTCGGCAAGACCAGCCTGGTGGAGAGATACGTGCACAACCGCTTTCTCATCGGGCCTTATCAGAACGTGAGTCCCAGCGGAGAGCTGACACTGTCTTGTCTGAAGCCTAGGGAGTAGCAGCGATGCACAGTCGGGGGGCACGCAGAGCTGCAAGTAGCTGCAAGCGATGAATAACTCTGCATCATCATTCTCTCTCATCATCTTTCTCCATGGCGACTGGGACACTGCTGTGTCCTTGCCTGCTCTGTTTAACGGGTGGTGTTGGTGCCTCCATGGCATCTCTCCATCCACGCCGCCATGCCCTGAATTAGAAACTTGAAAGAGACGCATTAAAACGTGTCAGTGTCAGTTCCTCTTCTCGTGAGGTGTGTGGTCAGCAGTGCCCGATGGCCTCAGTACCCAGGCGGGTGGCCTTGTACCTGCCTGGTGTTGCTGCGGTACATGATTCTGGTTGCCTTCTTTTTCCACAGACTATCGGAGCAGCATTTGTTGCAAAACCCATCCAGGTGGAAGACAAAGTCATTACCCTGGGTATCTGGGTAAGTGAGGAATGTCGTCCAGCAGGTTCCGAAGAATTATTCAGCCGGGCGCTAGAGAGCACGTCGCTCTTGGCCAATTAAGCCAGCGAGCGATTTAGTTAAGTAGCTGAGCTGTTGCGATGACAGCGTTGAGTGCCCATAGCTCCCAAGGGGGACGGAGTAGAGAGGCTTTCTGATGCATTGCTGGATCAGCCTAATTAGACGTGAAATCTTGTGAAGAAAGTTTTCTGTTGTAAATGCAGTACCCTTTACGATCACTTGTAGTATCCATAGTGACTGCCGGCGTGTGATTGTAACTCCCTTGTGAACGGGACAGTGTGAGTGTGAGCTGGCATCGTTCCCGCAGAGGCCCTGCGCACGAGAGACCTGCAGAAAGAGGAAAAGCAAGACATTTTAGGGGGTTAAAAAGAACATTGCTCAGAGCCTCACCTCATTCCTTCGCTCAGGTTTGTGTTGAAGCAGGATGAGGTGCCCTTGTGCCTGTAGAATCACCGTTTCAAATGAAGACCAGTGAACGGGCGTTGCTCTGCCAGATTCAGCTCCTTGCACTAATAAAACCCCCTTTCTTTATTTGAAACGCCCTAATCCCCCCCCTGTCTTCTCACACAATACTTCTTCTGATGTCTGGGGCAGCTCAGGGGTCCCTCTGAAACAGTAGCACTGGGAGGGTCTGTTTGTCTCTGTTCTAGGACACGGCGGGATCGGAGCGCTACGAGGCCATGAGCAGAATGTACTACCGAGGAGCCAAAGCCGCCATTGTGTGCTACGGTAAGGACCTGCTCTCTCTTCACAGAAGGCCCTTCCGGCCGCCCTGGTCTTTTCCATCCGACCGGAGCACGGAACTCGCATTCCTGGAATTCACCTGCATAACCCATGATTTAGCTCAGTCAGAAACCACACAGAAGTAAATGTTGAGAACCCAGACACTGAATCACAGTTCTGCTCTCCTATTAAAGAAGAGATTGGGGGTTTTGTCTGTACACAGTACGTTTCGCGTAGTTTTATGCAGTTTCTGTCATCATAACATTTCTGGTCTAAAAGGAGGGCATTATACCTAATAGTGAAGCACTATGTGTGTCAGGATCCTGTGCAGTTCTGTAGTACTGTCTGGTACCGAGCTGCATGGATTAATTTAAACTCTGGAGTTGAACAGAGAGAGTTCAAGAGGGATTGACATAGCGTTTTTAAAATCCTAGCAAGTGATCACAAAGGTCAACCCACTCTTCTCCGGGAAGTGCAGGAAAAGAGCCCAGTGCTGTGGATATTGTCAACAAGCTGTGGGATGGTGGACTGAGCTGCCCAGCCATGTTGTTGAATTTAAGCGATTTAAGCAATAATGATCAGTCTGGTACTAACTAGCAAACAGGCCAGACAGGGTAAATGGCTTCCTCTTACTACTGTAAAACCCGCAACAGGCAAGCTCTGGAATTCAGAAGTGCACTGGTGTGGGCTCTCGTCCGCAATGCTGATACTACTCTGATGTTTAAATGACCAGTGTCCCGACTCTTCCTCGCTTCAGAGAGTTAAAAGTGCTTCAAGGCAGCATGTACTTCCTTTCACACTGTCTGCGTTTGGACGGGTTTGCTGAGTGAAAATGACACACTGTCACACTGAGCACAGGGCAGGTTTGTGACTCAGAAAGCCCTCGTCTTCCCGAGCAGGGAGTGCTGTGTGCTCTATATTTAGAGCCTGTGTCATCAGGAGGTATGTCCTCCTGCTTCCTGTCAAGAACTGAAAATGCTCTGACCTCTTCTGCATCCCTCGCAGTCTGGGTGGTTGGTCAAGAAGAGCAGTTGGTGAACTCCAGCCGCATGTCAGTGATGCGTCACCTGTTTTGGGTTGAGGTTCTGGTTGTGTGTTCTTTTCTCTGGATCAAAGGGCTGGACAGGCTTGTCCCAAGTTACTGATGTAGCTGAATATCCCTCAACCAGGGGGATGAGGTCAGTTTGCGGTTTGCACTAGTATATTGTACTTTTGAAAGGGTCTTGCCAGTGGGTTTACAAAACCTACTGCAAACACAGAAAAGGCAGCAGATCAGAGCAGGCCGTTCAGCCTGTCCTGTTCCTCTCACTGCTTACGGTTTACCAGCTCAGAGATCTTGTAGGATCTCCTGGGAATTACCTCAGCAGCACAGCTGGGCAGCTTGTTCCACCCCTGGGAGGCTTGGTGCTTAGTCTGCTCACTGTGTCCGGGAAGCCAGAGCTCTGAAGATGAACGCCCATTGAAAGCAGAGATAGCACTGCGATACACATTGCTGTGTTCGTTAGCCCTTAGTAGCAACACCTGAAGAAGGCTCCACAGTCGAAACGTTGCGTCTCTTTTCTTTTCAGCTTAATAAACGTAATAAACCTTTACTTGTTCCTTAGCAGCCACATGTGCATTTGGCTCTGCATGATGCACGAGGCCAAGTTATGGTGGTGTGTGTGTGTGTGCTCCTTTTTATGCTTGGAGTTGCTGCCATATGCATTGCTTTAAGTATTCTTGCTTGCATACGGAAAACACCTCTGCCTGCATCAGTCGGGCCACAGGCTTCTGTAATATGAGTAAGATCTTATACTGTACAGGTGTTTTGTTTTCATCCGGGCGGGACAACTTCTGTTTTTTTTTATTCTGTTTTATCGTGCCTCAGATCTGACGGACTGCTGGAGTTTTGCCAGGGCGAAGTTCTGGGTGACCGAACTGCAGAAGAGCGAAGAGGTACACCTGTTTTTTCGGCTCTTGGCCTGCACGCACGCACCCTCTCTCCCGCGGGCTCTGTCGTGATGCACGCGCTTACACACCAAGATGGAGAGCTGCTTCATCAGCCGTGCCCTGCTTAAATCATGGCGAGGTCTTGCACATGGGGAAAATGCCTCTTGGGGAAAACTTGAAAAACTCCCGTGAGGGTATATTTGTTGTAACGGTTTGTCCCACGCTCTCAGAATGCGCTCTGTGCCGCGTGCGGACCTCCATGCTGCTCTCTCTCAGCACCCCCCCCCTCTCTCCTCCCCCGGCTGCAGCAGTGCAGGATCTACCTGTGCGGCACGAAGGGCGACCTGATCGAAGGCAACCGCAGCCTGAGGAAGGTGGACTACCACGACGCCCAGGACTACGCCGACGGTAAGGGCCCAGGCCTCCTCCGGCCGGTTCCCGAGTCTCCCCCACCCGGCTGCCTGCCGTTTCGTCACGGTCCTCCACCTTCCCCGTTTGGAAAAGAAAATAACCTGGGCTCCGGGCAGTCCTTAGGAACCGGCTGCAGACGCCCAGGGAAATGGAAGTGCTCTCGCCCGGGCAGCCCTGGGGGGGGCATCTCTCTACAGGCAAACAGCTGCTTGAGTTTTAGATCTGGGAAGCTGCTGGGGAACGTGCATGAGCTCCGCCACTGCCTGAAACAGAGGTGAAAGGTTTTTTTTCCCCAGCAGTGACGTTCTGGTACGTGACAAAACAAAAGTCCATCGGCTTCCTGCTGAAGAACGTGCTTCGAGTTCAGCGGCGACCTCCTGAAGGTTTACTTCAGGGAGGAGAGAAACGGGATTTCTCTCTGCCTCCTGCCCTTCAGACAGCAGGGTCCGGTCAGGGGAATTAAATGTGCAGGAAGCATCGGAGGGCTGGTCAATCTGCTCTTTAATGTTATTCCTTTGACCTCGTGCAAAGGACGTGTTTAAGAAGTGTTAGAAAGTCATTATCATTGATTAATTTCGGCCCCGTTTCTCAAAACTGGGGGAGGCAGGACAAGCGAAGGTATTGCATATTTCAAAACCCCTCAG